CTCAAGCAGTTATTTGATAAGATTTATCCAATTATTTTTGCATTCTTTTTCAGGTCAGTGTTATTGACTTGAATGTATCATTCCTTGCCACATTATTATATTTCATGCATCATGTTATTAGGTGTAATATATCATACATAATTATTCATTTAGACAAATCATTGCTTTATGGTTTCGAAGAAAATATTTTGATATTTTCGTAGATGACTCGAGACTTTCGGGGCTGTTTCAGGTGAAAGAGAATCAAATTCTGAGCCAAGAATTGCACAAAGTGGACAAGATCCGATTACGACATGTACTACAAAGCACGAACCTGAAATTGGTAGACGATTCATAGAAATTCTTTGATAAACAAACTTTTTCTCACGAATCCCACGAACTACAAGAATGTTTGGGAATCAAATAAGATATATTTAAGATTCTTAAGAAATGATTAAGAATATGTATGAATATGTAAGAATTCATATCCGTGTTAATTCGGGCTATTACATGTCAAAGAGAAATAGGGGTATATGTATTGCACTATTCTTGGTCCCACGAAATGCCCTCGTCGTCAAATTCAGAGTCTGTGCTGTCACCTAAATGAACAACAACAGGCTGGACAGTGTCTGGTCGGATACAGTCTTGTTTCCAATACTCTTCCTCAACTTTGATAACATGTTGGTCACAGTTTGCCCAGCGTACATCTGTAATTTCTCCCATTCCTTAAAGACAATCTGCTTGACGTCGGCAAGCTTGAAGGTCTTATTTTGCTGTGCGACCATATTTTTCAAATCACCCCAGATTAGTTCAATGGGATTCAAGTCACAATGGTAAGAAGGAAGTCTAAGCTCTTCGTGACCGTGTTCTCTCAACATGTTGTCATTCAAATAAGAGGGCGGGGGTTTGTTCTGAAGAACCAGTTGGTAGTAGTCAGTTTTTTTGGCTTTCGTGGGCCGAGCAATGCGGTTGTTGTCCAACCACTAACATATCTCACCTTTGGTGGAATTTAAGGTTGGACAACGTTTAATAGGATCTCGACAACTGTGATAGGGAGCATTGTCCATAACCACAAAGGATTTATCAGGCAGTGCTAAGAGGAGCTGCCCCTCAACATACGCAGTGAAAACCTGACTATTCATCTCGGTATGGTAGTCTCTGCCATCTGTAGATCTGGATCTGAACACTAGATCACACCCAGGGAGGAAACCTCTGTGGGAGCCTGCATGGAGGACAATCAGGCGCTCCCCTTTACCACGGGTGATCTTGCGCTGTGGCTCTCTGGTATCTGGGTGAGACCATTGGTAAGCCGCTGTGTGGCAGGCGTTAACCCAGGTTTCATCCAAACAGACAGGCTCATAGCCTTCTTCTCGTTTCTTTTTAATAGTGCGCAAATAATTGATACGCAAACGAATGATATCTGGTCGTTCACACATTGCTAGTTTCGATCCTTTCGTCTTTTTGTACTGATATCCAAATTTTGAAAGAAGTTTACAAATGGTCCATTTGGAAATATCTAAGTCATGCTAATAAGGAGAATTTGTTTTAGTTGTCGTGTTGAAATAAATTCAATTTCTCGTGTTAACCGCCGAATCACGTCCCTGACAACTTTCCTATCAAAGGAATCTAACTTTAATTTCCTATCCTGTTTTGAGATGCCCCTAAGGGATGTGCAGGGGAGCATGTGTTTTTATGAGAGTTCAAAATCTTAACTACGGTTTGTTTGGGAAGCTGTAACGCATGAATTGTTCTTTTCATGTACTTTGAAATGTCAAAGAAGGGCGAACGTCTTTCACTTTCAGCCTTAAAGTATTCAAATATTTTAACAACGAAACCTTTTGCATCAGCGGAAAGATGCTTGCGCTGAGACATCATGAAATCTAATGCTAACACCGTATTCGTGTGTGCGTGATTCCCGTGCAACCTTTCGAGTTGAGTTGATTGGTTCAACTGTGTCATATGGCCCTGTGACGCAGGGGTAGCATTATGCAGATGGCTGTTACAATGACTGCTCGTTCCACCCATGACGACCAGGTCTGGTTGTTGATGAAATATAGTGATAGCTAAATAGACAGATTTTTTATTCATGCACCGATTGTCTTTAAATGTAATATCCAGTTATGTATGACTGTTTAATAATCTCATACCAACTTTGACTGGAGTAGGTCCAATAGTTTTTCAGATATTGTAGTAAACGTCGGTACCTTAAATTAACTTCCAGACTATAGTGCAGTATTACTCTCTCTAACCTCCTGTGACAAGTCAAAATATATTCTCCTTGCTCTACCTCGTAACTGAATGCTCAAATAAGCGGCTTACTCAGTTATCGACCACTTATTCACAACTGAATAAGATTCGAACACTGGAATCAGTTCGTCCCACTCATCTCCCTTCTCACCACTAAAAACTTCAGGCAAAATCATATGGGTAGTCGAACGGTCATTCACACTATCACTCACCACAGATCGGCTTGCAAATCTATCACAACCACAATTAACAACCAAACGGAGTAGAAGTAACAGGACCTGTAGATAACGAATGTCCCATTCCAGCACCGACAGTCCCTGATCTTTCTAACAAATCATGACGTACACCCCTACCTACAGTAGTATACCTAGTTGTAGCCCCCAGCATACTATCCTCCATGTTTGTAACAATATCAAACAAAATAATATAGCAGATAGGAAATTATAACACCCTATCCCGGCCAAATGTCCTTAGGCTAAGACCTACGCTTGTAACAAATCTCCACAAAATTAATTCACATTTTACACAAATTAAATTCCAAAACGTGTATAAAAGGTGCCTTGTATAAATAACAAGGTGTGTGGTAGGCCCTACATACTTACCAATGGGTGTGGACAACTAAATCCTAACAGAGAAAGATAAATTAACTAACAGTACTCAGGGAAATAATTGCCTACACTAAACAAAAGGACCAATTGGTAAAGATAACCTTAAGTATTATAGGCTAAACCCACTTATCAACTATAAAATCCTGTCAAGTATTACGCTGTGATATGACTGGAATAATGTTAAAAGCGGCGTTAAACCCAACTCACTCACTCACTGTCAAGTATCAAATAAACCTATCAACTGTGAAAATATCTTACCAACTGTCAATCCTGCCGACGATGCCATTTGTAACGACGGAAGTGGGGCTAAGGTGAATACCCGAACAGCACCCAGAATTTTCCCGCCACGTTACAAAAACAAACAAATGTTAAAGTGACTTACAGGTCCTCTGAAGCGTAAAGATGCTGTTCGGATGCAAGCAATAGGCAATAAACATACTTAAAAATAGCACAACAAGGGTTAAACTAAATTATTTATTTAACCACAATAATTCGCGAGTGTGAAAATGCGACAGCATGCACGCGAACACGACTTCAAAACATTTAAACAATTTGATTTATCAGCCACATATTCATAATTCAGACATTTCATCTACAACAATATACTAGTGAAACCACATGAAAAATTTGAAGGGTTTCCCTTCATACGTGAATACTGAACTCTGTAGACTAATCACTATAAAATAGAAGACACTTCTATAACATCAAAACTCACCAAGAATTTAGACTATAAATTCTATTCAATACACTTGCCCGCCCTGCACGTGCATCCCACGTCCACTCCTGAGAGGTGTACACTCTTTCCAAACCAAACGCCGAACCCCGAATCTCCGTGTCAGTCACAACTTATAGCCTTGAATGCACCACGAGATCTCTATAATTGGCTGCCAGTCACGTGAAGGCTTTCCACTCAACTGGAGATGGCTGAACTAAAACGGACACAGCTGATCGTCATTACACATGACACGGACACATTCTTCTCCATCTGATTGTCAAGGAGCAGACCAGTCCATTCCAAGAGCGGGGGAGTAGGTTTGTCTGCTGTTTCCTTGACTTAGTGTAAGACGGACACAGCCGATCGTTGTTACATATGTGTTGTGTATAAATAAGTCAGGCAACAGAAACACATCTGAGGACCACTTGTGTGTAATATTCAAGAATTCTGTCTACAATAAATGGACTTGAGCAACAAATCTAACTTACGCTTTGAATGAGCGACATCATCCCTGGACCAAGGAGTGATGTGACTAAGTGGCCGGGGTAGAAGGGTAGAGCACCCCCAACACCTATGGTTACAGGTTGACTTATATATTTGAACTCTTGTATTCTTTCTCTGCAACATTTTGGTACAGGTACTTGTATTTTTATCAGCCATTCATATTTTTATCCCCCACCCAACGAAGTTGGCGGGGGATATAGAAACGGGCTCCGTCCGTCCGTCCATCCGTCCGTCCGTCACGTTTCGTTTCCGGAGCATAACTCATACACCGTTCAATATTTTTTCATCAAACTTTGCAGGTCTGTCAGGTACATGCTAAACTGTTGCCTTTTGCTATTGAGAAGTTTTAGAAATTTTTATTTTTTACGTTTCCATGGCAACAAGATGGACTTAGGTTCTGTGAGGGTAGGGTTCGTTTCCGGAGCATAACTCATAAACCATTCAATATTTTTTCATCAAACTTTGCAGGTCTGTCAGGTACATGCTAAACTGTTGCCTTTTGCTATTGAGAAGTTTTAGAAATTTTTATTTTTTACGTTTCCATGGCAACAAGATGGACTTAGGTTCTGTGAGGGTAGGGTTCGTTTCCGGAGCATAACTCATAAACCATTCAATATTTTTTCATCAAACTTTGCAGGTCTGTCAGGTACATGCTGAACTGGTGCCTTTTGCTATTGAGAAATTTTAGAAATATTTATTTTTTACGTTTCCATGGCAACAAGATGGACTTAGGTTCCAAACTCATCTTTTTTTTACAATTCCCATGACAAGTTCCACCTCGGTTAAAAAAGGTTAGGGTTTGTTTAGATTTAATTATGTCATAAATTCTGCAACAGGGGCGGGGGATATAGCCATGTTAGTGGCAAACTCTTGTTAGAACCAAAATGTTGAACAGAAAGAATGAAAAAGTTTGAAATCTGTATGGAGAATAATGTTCTATTTTTCAGGTCTTGAGCAACAAGTGACGATTGTTGATGAGCAGCTGAAGAGTCAGCAGAACCAGCTGCATGTTCTGAACAGCTATAAGGTGAACTTCACTTTCTTCCTTCTTACTAAGAATCTTAGCTCAAATCTAAGGGACGTGCAGCAACTGCATAATAGTGTATCGCTCGACACAGCCCAGGGGATAATTGCTTAAGGCTATAAGCGTCATGAATAATATAAATAACAGTAATTAATGAAAAGGGACACAGTAGCGCAGGTTGTCTGACAGTCAAAAAACAAAGCAACTGAGATAAGCGTCATATGAATACTGACAATTAAATGATGGAGACATATACATATCATGGCTACATGGTAATTACCCATAGGGATAAAATGTTCATTCGGACAATGGTTGTCCTGAATCTGTTGCTGTGACAATACCATACCACCCATACCGTGTATGTATCTAAGAAACCTATGCTAACACATTAAACAGGGACCTTTACGAAAGAACTGACACGTTACTTTACTTTTATATCAAATACCAACAATTAATTTTCCACATACGATAACAAATCTCAAATTGCAATCTGCAAAATCATTAATGTTTATGTCTGCAATGACTTTATTGATCACAAAGCACGGCAAGAATAAAACTAAACCATTTTCATTTATAATTCTTGATGATATATTCATTCTTTGATTAAATACTTTGCAAATATACATGCCTCCCTGCTATTCACAATGGACAGTCCGTTATATATGTAAAGATAGGCAAAGTGAAACCAGTGACTAAGGATATCAGTTAACTGCCCTTGACAAGAAGAGGTCACCTTCATTGCAATAGCATGCAAACACACAACTGGTGTTTCAACTGAAATTAATGAAAAGGATATGTTGATTCCCATAACTTTTGTAGTTCATAATGACAAAATGACCACAAACCAGGGATGAACAGGCATTAAGTATGACGCTATCAACTCAACACTCAAAAGTTACAGGAGCTTCAAGTTAGTTATGAAATAATGTTATACTTTGTAAACATGTTTGGCATTTGGGGGTATTCTCACAGTGAAGGAGGCAATGTACATACCTGAGTATCAGTCATGCCCAAACAAGGGATACTTTCAGCTTATGATGAAACATGTTACCACTAAACACCTGCATTCGGGTACCAAGCTGTATCAATCTGTTGGGATCAATTGTTGATAGTGGTATAACTCTTGGTTTTGACAATCGACTGAAAAAAACAGTAGCCTGCATGCATCTTTCTTTACTAATGCAATCTATTGGAAACTATCTCCTAATGATGACTGATGGGGTACAAATGCCAGAATTTGAAGACATACATTACATTTTCATACCTGAGAAGATTATACCAAAGTGCTAGGTTGTGCTTAGAAGCTTGTAGCGCAATGACTTGTCAAGGATTTGCTACTGAACACATGAGTTTGGTGATGGATTCTTTAGATGTTCTTATATAATAATCTGAAGACCGAGGACCTAAAGTCTTAATCATATCAACCAGAAAATTAGCTTTTGATGCTGTTACTGCACTGATCCAAAATGAATGGGCATATCACTTGCTATGGTCTTAACCTGCTGATGTGAACATTTGTTTCAGCTTTTGAATGATCAAGGTAGTAGTTGTCCATGGTTAGTGACAAACAACATCTTGCAGTTGTGTTCACACAAGTTCATAGCCTGCAACTAATGTATTGTGTGTTTTGTTTGTTTGTTATTTGACGCCGCACTCAGCAATATTCCAGACGGCTGTCTGTAAATAATCAAGTCTGGACCGACAATCCAGTGATTAACATCATGAGCATTGATCCATGCAATTGGGATACAATGACATGCTTCAACCAAATCAGCGAGCCTGACCACCCGATCCCGTTAGTCGCCTCTTACGACATGCATAGTCGCCTTTTACAGCAAGCATGGGTTGCTGAAGACCTATTCTACCCCGGATCTTCACGGGTAGGCAGCTGACTGTTCAAAACAATTATTCCTCCGAATACTATAAGTCTATTACTGTAATTTGGTTGTAATCACACAAGAAAACTTTCAGATTTTCAACAGATGTCCTCTTCATGATCAGCTATCCACAGCTTGTTCTTAGGGAAAATGTTCCCCACGTCAAGTGCCATTTCAGCTCGAACGATGTCATATCAGCTGTAGAGAACTCTTTGTGCAGCCGAAAGAAGGCCTACGAAACTGAAACAAAATCCCTCCAACTTCCCTGGCAAAAGCCTATCAATTTGGAAGGGGATTATATTGAAAAATAAGTCCTTTTAGAGTCTTTCTATGTGAGTCTGAGAATATCAATCAACCCTCATACAGTCAAAAGGTGTAAGGAAGGTGCATGAGGAGCAGAGAATGTTCACCAGCAATAGAGTATGCAGCTGCCAATATGGACAGGAGAGAGCTGGCTAGTTGAGAGATGGCATTGTCATTGTGCAATAAAATATTCTGCTAAAGTCCTTCTTTACAGTAAGTTTTGTTTTGCTTATTGCAGGACAAAGAATATCCCGTGAAAGCAATGAAAATATCAAATCTGCAGAAAGACATGGAAGGCTTAAAAATATCTAATCAGGTAAGTCACTGATCCAGAAACATCAAACTTTAAAGGCATGTGTAAATCATAAAATCAGAATTCCATTTTCTTATAAGTTATTATCTCAGACTTTAAGCCCCTGTGGGCCTATTCACAGAGCTGTTGCAGCGACTTATGACAACTGCAATTGCCTATCCTTGAAGCTATCTTAAACCATTCACAATAGTATCCTACTTGCAAACCAAACTTATGGCAGAGAGCTGTTTTGTGATGAGACAAAATAAGCTGGATTTCCCAATTATGTCATTGTTCAGGACATTCCCCAGCTCAAAATTCACAATAGTATTAGATATTTTCCAAGATAAGAATTATACTACATCTGAACAGGGATTTACTTGCATGTCTCTATCTATACATGGGTCTATCTATGAGTAGAGTAGACAAATAACCTATGATGGATAAGGATTCCAATGTTCTACTAAGAAACTGACACATTGGCACGATGAATTTGGAGGTTATTTCTTACTAGAATAGAGATATCCTCCAGTAATATGTAACATGCAATCTACAGATTTTTTAAACTTATCCCTCCACAACAGTATGTAGTATTCCTTCTTGCTTTGATCATATAACAGTGGAGAACATTGTGAAAACAATCCTCACCATAACACACCTTCCGACCACCTCACTCCCAGCATGCTCTTGCACTACTCATCACTTTTTCCTTCATCGCCCATAGTGAACGGACGTGTTTTGCTTCCACTCCACATTTACAATTGGATTTGTTTGTCATGTCAGTTTGAGTTGTATATCTACCTATTTACATTTATCAACGGATTCCTAGGCACTCCTTATCAATAAATATCAAACAATCCACCAGGTGGGTCCTCTCGTCTTTGTGCAGCAACTCCTCGCCTCTCTCTTGGAACGGAGTGCCTGCCGTACTAGATGCCCATACTGGCTATTTACCTTCCATCCACATTCTTTCCCCACCATTGTTAACATAACTTTCAGTATGTGAAAGCTCCGTTTTGGTTTCTATTATCATGTTTTGTCCACCTCCCTCGTTTCATGCGATCAGCTGTGTTTCATTTAATGTTCGGGATATTGTCTGTATTATATTCTCTTTTTCCGTTTTAGATTCTAAGATATTATGGACGATGTGATCATTTCGGAGATGGTGTCAGGGGTTGACGATGACCTTCGCCATCTTTGAAAGTGTGTCGACTGCCAGGACAAGATTCCTCTTCCAGCGCATCCTCACGTGGCGCAGATGCAAGCATGAATCCATGCACCTTACCAGACAACTTATTCTCAGGTGCAGCTACAGCATAGTGTTGCTACTTCTAAGGCTGAGGACAGGTACTCTACACCTCGAGGGATCGGATCCTATGGATGTACTTAGACTAAAGGGACCTGTCCCACTGCCTTCTGCAAAATGCTCCTTCGATCCCAAGAATACTACGCCATCTTACACTGTCCCTGTTCATCATTTGGTCAACAGTATTCCTGCACTGTTGCAACAGGCTTTGGATAAGGTAACCCTTAAGGGTTTGCTTCCAAAACCTGCCATTATGTTGTCCCACTTTAATTTGCATGGGATTTCCTTTCAAACTTCGCTGCTCCCCTGGATGAAGACGATGATAAGACTTTGAGTCGTTCCATGTCATGGCGCCTCAAGATGGATGATAGATCCCTTATGTCTGTTGATTCTGACATTCGTTTGTCCCTCCTACCATTGTCACTTATTACTACCTTCATCCAGGTTGTGGTTTTACGGGGATTGCCCTGCCGAAAACAGAGAGTTGCTCTCTGCTCTGGATGAAATCGTTCGTCTCTTGGAGGACTTAACTCAACTCCTTATGCATGCTCACTCCTTACAATGTGGGCGACTGGGTTCTTTCGCCACTGGTCATCCCTCCTCATGACTCTCCTGTCAGCGGACACTTCCAGCAGTTCTGGAAAAATTGGGATCACCTCTTCTCGGACTGATTCTTAGTTACGGGTACCAATTACCCTTAATTGCACAACCACCTCTCACTGTCTCGCCCCTTCAACTACCTTATCCGGACGCGCACTTGGAGCAGTTACAGGACAACATTCGGATTCTTCTGGACAAGGGGGCTTTAGATTTCCAACGGATCTAACTCCGGGATTTTACAGCCACATTTTCATCATCCTGAAGAAAAATTTGTTGAAGCTTCGTATAACCTACAACTTGCATGCGTTCAACCACAATTTTTGGGACCCCCTGCTGGTTTCGGATGGTCACATTACCGATGGCTCCGATCAACCATCCAACCTGGTGACTTCCTAGCCTCCCTCGACCTCCAGGATGCCTACTTACATGCCCCCAACTTTCCGGCACACCGTCCGTATCTCTGGTTTGTTTTCAATGGTCGTCCTTACCACTGAAAATGCCTTCCGTTTGGCATCTCTACGGCCCCATGGCTTTTCACTCGTATCACCAAGCCTGTAGGGACGTTCCTACACCAGCGGGGGATCCTCTTCAGTTCGTACATAGATGACTGCCTGATGAGTGATCCCTAGCCTCGGTTGCTTCACAACCAGATCAGCGGACGATGTTGTGAGAGAACTCGCCTCATGATAGTGATGGTCAATGTCTCAGTTGCTCATTACGTCAACCAGATGGGATCCACTCACTCACAGAGTCCTGGACCTCACGTTCACATTCTATCGTCTCATAGATGACATCCCACTGGAGGTGAGAGCTCTTTCCAGGCATTTCCAACATTCTCGCTGACGCCCTATCTCGACCCAGTCACTCGCCCCCACAGAGTGACAGTTACACAGTATCTCTGATACCAGATGCTCTGGCTTTGGATTATGATGCACTCGCCATCGAGTGGAACGGCCTACACGCGTACACGTTTCCACCTCTGACGCTCCTTCCCCATTTTCTCCAGAAACTGGCCTCCACAGGGAACATCCAGATTTGTTGGACGTGGTTCCTGCACCTGCTCCACCTCGTCGGAGGGCCAGACTTAAGACTCCCTATATTTCTCTGTCTGCTCAGAAATCCACATTCATCAACAACACCTGTGTCCAGAGTTGTGGGATCTACATGTGTGGTCTATTTGCAGTACGCATTGACAGCTAGGGATTTCTTTACACCAGGTGTTGCTGTCCACAATACCTCTCCACACCAACAGCTCCATCACGGACATCGTCCAAGGTTGTTTTTGCCAATTTCTACCTCCGAGATCTGTCCATTGAGGATGTTGAAGAAATCCACCAGGTGGGTCCTCTCGTCTTTGTGCAGCAGCTCCTCACCTCTCTCTTGGAACGGAGTGCCTGCCGTACTAGATGCCCATACTGGTATGCCTGCAAGTTTTTTCTCTCTTTCTGCGGAATGATGGGGTGGTCATTAAGCCTAGTGGTTAAAGCGTTCGTTCAGCACGCCAAAGACCCGGGTTCAATTCTCGACATGGGTACAATGTGTTAAGCCCATTTCTGGTGTCTCCCGCAGTGATATTGCTAAACATGGCGTAAAACCATACTCACTCACTCTACAGAATGACTGCATTAAACTCTGTACCGTACATGTACTGTACATGGTGGTCATGTATTACGGAACAAGTGAATCTGATCACACCCATGGGGTGAAGACAAAGTGGCAGTCTAGTCTAGTGGGGATATGCAGCTTATCCATTCCACCGTCCTACTGTAGGATAATTACATACTGTTGTGGAGAGATAAGTTAAAAATAGGGAATCAGAGTATTCCCCTTATTTATATACTTATCCTGACACAACAGGTCCTGACTGCCTGCCTGTCCATCCGCTCACATTGGATCCACTTTTCAACTGCCTTCGGGCGACGAAGGAAAAAGTGATGAGTTGTGCAGGAACATTCTGGAAGCGAGGTGGTCGGAGAGTGTGTTCCGTTGAGGATTGTTTTCACAATGTTCTACACTGTTATATGATCCAAGCAAGAAGGAATATTGCATACTGTTGTGTCAGGATAAGTATATGAACAAGGGGAATACTCTGATTCCCTATTTTTGCTTAGATTTAATGATTGAAGCCGCCACGTGTTTTTGTGTCCCGATGGACTTAGTATAAATTATTTGTGTCCCTTCTAAATTTGTAAGAGAATAGGATGCCTGGAAAACCCTGACTGAGGATAAATTTTGATTGTCAGTGTCCTTTTCCCCACAGTACCACCTTTGTTATCAATACTGCAATGATGCATATTGTTGTAAAACTGTTTTACTTAAATTGTTTAAATAAATTTGAAGTTTTATAGAATATTGAACACAAAAAATACCAGTAACAGTAAATATGACCAAACATATGCACAAACACCTGTGTTTGTCAGTGCAAATATTAAATCAGTTTGAAAAAAGTACACTGCTAAGTGTTGTCCGAGAATGTATTCTGCTTTGAAAAACAGCAAATTTCACCACTTTTTATCGTATACCGATAAAAGTACTGTGCAACGATTTTTTTAATTTAGCAGTTTTACAGAAACTGTGAGCGAACAAAATACTGCCTTATATGTGAACGCCATAAATATATATCAAATGGATTTATATGCTTATGTATTACGTAATACATTCAATACCAAAAATAGCCTGCCGTAAATGACGAAAACTGATTTTCCTCTATGATGTCAAAAGACGACAGAGAGGTTACACACGTACAAAGACAAGGGGGCATAACTCCCCTATACATAACACTAGTTTGATGTCACTTGGTAAGAACTAGCTGTGGATAAGGACAATAGATTTTCATGGTGATTTGTTCACGAGGAAGCAAACTATTCCAAAACAAATATCGATATTGAAACTGTATACGTTTAGGCATAAACAAACCCATAAAAAATGGTGAAATCATACTTCATAAAGGAGGAAGTGAAAGCGAAATAGATGGCCCTATCTAACCGATAAATTAGTCCTTAGATTCCAACATTCTCCTGATTGTGCAAGTGTAATTTAACTAATGTTGCACCATTATTAATGGAGCACTAGCCTTTTCATTAAATGTAATGAATTACTTTAAAACATGACACCATTCTATTTGATGTCATGGCTGGTTTTATGGCAATGACAACGTCGGAGAAGGATAACACTGGCGTTTTGATTAATATATATCTCCCCTACTTTTCGTTCATGGTATGGAAAATCTTGATGTATAAAATGGAATTTGACGCTTTTTTGACACAACATAAAATGACTGCTTTTACAATGTAAATAAATTCTTGAATATATAAACAATTTAACAGTTTACCTTGTATCTTAATTGGACAAGACACGCACCTGTTTTGTATCAATTTTACGTAATCAAATACCCCAAAGAATATTTCAAAACAACTAAAATTATATTCAATATTGGACATGTATTTGTTCATTATTATGTGATTTTTTCTCTTCATCTCATCTCAGAATCATACAATAAAAGATGCGAAGAAAGTTCCTTTGGTATTGAAAATATCAGGATAATCATATAAATCTCGACCAACGGGGTACATGACACGCTTTATATTTTTTATACTTTGCACAATTCTTGGAGAAATAAAGTAAACAGTTCAAAATCCTGTGATCACAATATTGAAAAAAGGGTGAACCCATTGATTATATAATACAAAACGAGAGGAATAATTCGTAAACTGTTTGTGACTATAGCGCGCACCTGGCACATGTGTCGTTAGGTATCACATTTCTGTATATCAGTAACGACATGAGCAACAATTCCAAGACCCAGATAATTCCTCCAACATTGAGCACATATTTTAACAACAAATATTATCCATTTTGTTAAAGTAATATATTCAGTTGTAATTTTAGAATAAAATGAAACGGCTGCTCATTAACCTGTTTTTATGAAATTACAATATTGACTATAACACTCCAAAGGAAGACGTCGCGTTGCATTTACATTTTCATTTCATCTTATAACACTTGTCTAAAGGGAAATAATATCGTATGCGACACCATAAACTTATAAATTTCTTATGTAAACAATGTTCAAACAAACAGGAGATTATCAAATGTTCATATATTGTGTGGCCAAAATCTATGTATGATATCATATTGAACAATGATAAATATCCATAGTGAAATTTATTGTGTGAAAAAATGTATAAAAGATATGCAAAATCAACATCATAATTGAAACTGTCCACAGCAGGATACAATGATTGTGTGTACTTATATTCAAGGACATTCACCTCAAAGAAATTACCAAATATGTACAACAATGTCGACGTATGACATCACTACCGGTGACCAACGTTTACAAAATGGTGTGTTCACTGACAACAGTACTCGGGAATTTACGAGGGGACTTTTGTTGATTCAGGGATCGTATTTACTTAAATGTGACAAGGAAGTAATCAGAAACATTCTGACAATTTGTGTACTTTTATTTGTTGTTATATTTTTATTGAAACCAAGAGAAATAGTCCAAAATTCTGTTAAATACCATTGTCGTCGTGCATGATTGTGCGTCAGTCACGGCGTCACGCAGGACGGAAACTTTGACTATTTCTGTTGAATTTATCAATTCATTGAAATGTTTCAAGTTTTAATTCCCTAATTCTTCCTACGATTCTCTTCCCATGCATTTTCTGAAAATGTTGAGCCAATGTATGCAACGAGTAGACAAATGGATAGCTCAAAATAGGAGAAAATGCTACACTGCGTAAAATCTGAATTTTTGCATTGTTTACATTTCAAACAAGTGCAGTTTTCCGAACACAGCGTTTGTTTTCACACCTTATTTATTTTGCTTGATTTCATCTAGACACTTCGTATTGGTGACAAAGACCATTAGTCATTTGATTCTACTCTGTATGAGGAATTCACGGATGTATATATCACAGCTGAGTTTGACATTAAGGTGATGTTACAGGCGTCTCATAACCGGTATGCGGAAGCATGATTGTGTAAACACTATCCAATATGGCGGAAAGTTCACTTCAGCATTCATGTTTGCTTATTTTCCAAAACATTATAATCAATTTAAGGTTATCGGCGACATGTTGGAATAATCATTGGTGATTTCATAAAAGACAGATACCCGTGATCACTAATATGATTTCAAAACATGCTGTAAATAACACTGCGAGTGGTGATTTAGTAATGTGTAAAAAATGGCGACATTTACGATGTACCTAATTTTCAGAGGTCATATTCAGTACTTTTGTTTGGCCTAAAATGCCAGTGGATGATATCACAGAACAGGGAATTTCCCACCTTATTCAAAACTGTGAAGTGTATCTGTGTGGGTGATGTATTTTGAATTTTACACGACTTCAAAGTGAGGGTTGAAGAGGAGTGACATATATGTCCCTCTGGCATTATGGGGGTTAAAATATTCTAGAGCAGAAAGGTCTTTAATAACATTTGATTGATTAAATGTGCTGTCCTTCAAATAACTGTATCATAACTTTACCAGAATATACAACGATCCATTTCTGTTATGCCTGAACGAAGTTAGATCTTGTGCAACTTTGCCAAATATTTACACCATTCTCAGTTTAATGACTTGAAATTATTGTCATTGTATAATTAGTACCTTAGGATTTTGACACGGTCATTGTGTTGAATTGCTCAACAAGGGAAAACAAGGGAATTTGTCCAAGAGGTCTTAGCTTTAGGTATATCGATGATCTGATATTGTTCAATGGTGGTCAAATAACCGATTCCCTTCCCTTCCACATTTTTATCATATATAATGGGTAGGTTTCTCGGCAGGATAAAGCCAATGGATAAAAATTATATCTGTTGGGGTCATATGCAGATAGAGATGCAAATATCAAAGGTCATGTAGGGAGTCGCCCTTGTCATTCGGCGATGGAGTCAGAATTAGCCATCAGGAGAAACTACTGGGATAATTGCTATATACCGAAAATCAGTGTCTAACTGTGACTTAGCTAAGGCATTTTACAAGTTTGGGCAACTTCGGGTGATGTAAATTGTGAAACAATTTAGTGAGGACAGTAGCCTAGCAGGATCAGTTTCCATCTCTGTGTGACCGCTGCGGCTTGGAACCTTTTCCCCAAAATAAAACAGTTGGATTTGGCTGAAATATGTACGAATTGTTACCTTGTTTCGTTTTGTCGTAGTGTGTACATCTGATTGCACTTCATAATGTTATGACAGGACAGGCAGACTCTGTCAACAAACGTGACGTCTCATAGACTAGGGTTAGAGTAGCTTCCCTTTGATAAAGGGCACTGTCCGACTGTCACATCACTTACCTTCTGATGTAATATATATTTATGCGCACATTCCAGGAAAACTTGCAATGTTTAGGCAATGTTTGGGAGGGATAGGAGATTTTTCGAGCACAGAATTGAAGAATGACATTATATGATAAAGAGGTTATCACGCTTGTGTGTTTGGGGATGGTATATATCCTGCATTAGGAATAAGCACTATGTATTTAGCTTGTCAAGGCTCGCTAAATGCAATGCTTATTCCTAAAACAGGATTTTTACCATCCCCAAACACACAAGCGTGATAACCTCTATTTATCCACCTGTCATATAAATAAACCTAGAAATATAAGAGACCAGTGAGACCTCCTCACCTGTTTTTATATATTTAGATCTATGCATAAAGTTTCAGAGAGACAAAACACTCTCCACAACACTGTTTGATGAGAGGAATGACTTTCCAATACTCAGCTTTCCTTTTATGTCGTGCAATATTCCAGCAGCTCCAGCCTTTTGTATCAACATTTCACAACTTTAGAGGTAAAATTGAACATACTCTTTCTACAATGATTTCAAAGAGCATTATATGACTGACTGACTGACTGACTGGCTGGCTGGCTGGCTGGCTGGCTGGCTGGCTGACTGACTGACTGACTGACTGACTGACTGAAAGTATAATAACGAAACAATGAATGGAAGTAATGTACATTATTATAAATCATATATTTTAGATTTTACCTGGTATAATAATACTGAAGTGTGCCTTTTGATATTTTATACTTCTTCACAAACAAGGGTAGGGATCGTTTCCGGGCCATAACTTGAAATTTGTTTAACATATTTCAATGAAACTTGCTTTGCAGGAAGAGCAAGAAGAACTTCAACATATAATTAACACTGAGATTGGCAAGTACCATAAGAAGAGGTTGCACGTAGCCAACCAAATTACACACGCTGTCACAGAGGTGAGTAAATGATAAACCAGGGGCAGTATTCACACAGATTCTAAGAATTTTCTGAGAAATTGAGTTTTTGAGTAAAATATTTTCTTAAAAATTCTTAGCAATTAAAAAGTATCAATTCACAAACAGTCAAAAGCATGATTCTTAGCAGAGTATCAGTATAATATCTAAGATTTTTCTTGGTCTAACCCGTTGCATTTGGCGATTATAAAACTTGGACAAAGAATTTTCTTAACCCTTCTTGAGTGATGTTTTGGAGAGTCCCTCATCTATAAAAGTTAAGAAAAACGACTCTTCATTGTTGAAAACGCAAAAGTCAAAGGTTTTGACAGACAACCTATTTTTGATCGACAAAAACATTGCCGGTAACCATCGACCATGTCTGACAAGAAAAAATGAAAACCTAACTGGACTGAGGACCGAACAATGCTTCTGACAAAGCTCGTTGAAGAAAATAAATGGTTTGTTGGGAAAATTTGATGCAGGCGGGACAGTGCAAAAGAAAAAGGAAAAGTGGGCGGAGTTGATCAATGCAGCATTCCAGGTACGGCAGACCATACTGATATATAATTATAAGGATAGTCTGCAGTATCAAAATATAATCAAGATTCTAATAATGTTTAATTCTATTTCCTTTTAAGATGTTTCACGGTTGATATTTTTATGATAGAACATATGTTTAGTTTCCATTTAAAACAGCTGATAGTGCGTTGTTTAAGAAAACACAGTCAAAATATATCACCATGAATGATTATCTGAAACAATTTTATTCAAGATTTTAGTATTTAATCAAATTTTCACAGCAGAAGCGCACATAAGATCTGAGGGATATATTTTAATAGATTATATTGTGTTATTTTTCTTTTGACATTTATTTATTTTCAGTGAACGAAAGATTTAAATTGTATTGTACAAATTATCAGTTATATTACAGTGTCACATCCAGTACCTATGCGTTTATTTATGAAATTTAAAAAACAGTTGTACTTTTTGTAGTTCACATTTTGCAAAACCGAAATGTAATAGTACATTCCTCAGTAAAGTTGTCTTCAGTTGCTACTTAAGTATCATTCAACACATTAATTCGGAATAAAACTTTCTCTGTTTTTCCTAACATAAGTAACTTACTAAATTTTGATTTCGACAGGTAGTGGTCCATGACCATGCCCTACTTTGAGTGCCACATCTAAATACCACCAGCTATGGATACATCCCTCCTACACGTGGTCAGCCTTTCTGACACAGTTAATGCAAGGTAATTCTACTGATGTATTCCCTTGACTTTGTATTGAGTATAATCATTCTTACAGCATAATACTACTTAACAGAATTGCTATGAAAACTTTATGTTAGCAGACTACCTCCTATACATAAGTGGTCATACACAAGTCTATTAACACATCCATATTTAAGACTATAAACTATCAACGCCAGAGAATAACCAGTCTTGATTATCCACTGAAACAGATTCTGTAAAATGCAAGATAGTGGTTGAAGTATTTGAATGGATATCTATACATAGATACTCAAAAGTAACAATGACTTAATGTTTTCTGTCCATTTATACACAGTAAAGAAGAAAATCATTGAAATCCAACTTCAGAAACTGCCGAATCAATAGAATTAATATTTAGCTATGATTATGTGTACCATACATACGTGTCACTTATAATGGCCAGAGAGTTCACCATATGTTTTCAAAATGTAATGTTTTTGTTTGAATAGACAGATCTGAAACCCGACTTTCAAAAGAGCATTATTTTGACAGAACCATACTCCTTTTCATCAGTTTAAATTTATTGTCAATATGATAATATTGGCCAATGTGTGAGGTAACAATGGGCAAAATTTCATATATCAATAGATACATTGATAACATTAGGTCAGAATTTGAATATTTGACATGAAACCATATTCTTTTCAACATAGCATTTCAGGGTTCAAAATGACACAGTTAAAATGTAAGAACTTAGCTGACCAAGTTTGAAAACACTTTTTTCAGTTAAGTATTTTATTAAGCAGTAGGGTGTATATGTGTTGAATGCCTTTCATATTTTTATAAGAAAATTGTTCCCAAAATATGGGGACATACGACGGCTGGTCAAAAAGTTCTAAGCATGACTAACTTTCAACTATGAGCCATAACAAAGTGAACTGGGCAATGTAGTACATTGTTTTGAGTAGTTCATTGCAAGTGTATTTGGTCTGATGAGAACGTTTGTATATTTGTGACAGACAGTGGAACGTGATAGGGGTCTAAATGGACAAAGGAATGGAAAAGAACGAGTACCGAGCAGTCATCATGTTTTTGACTTTAGAGAAAAGTACTCCCCAAGGAATTCATGACTCCATGTCACAAGATTATGGGAATAAGTGCCCTAGCTATTCCACTGTATAGCTATGTTTAAGGTTAGGAGAACAAGCCTTGATGATGACCCTAGGACTGGACGTCCCTCAACTTCCATCAATGAAAATTCAATCAAGGAGATAGAAAAACTTGTACTGTCAGAAAGACGTATTACCATTGCTGAACTTGAGGAAGACACAGGTCCAAGCCATGGATCCGTTAAAACTATTATTCATGAACATGTACAGATGAAAAAGATATCTGCTCATTGGGTGTAAAAATTTCTAAATTCTGATCTTAAGGAAAAAACTGACATTGCCAGTGAAAATTTAGAGCTAATTGGGGAGGATTTCGACAAATTCAAAAAGAGATTAGTAACAGGTGATGAAACATGGGTCTACCACTATCATCCCAAGTCAAGACATCAATCCATGGAATGGCACCATTCCACTTCTCCAGCACCAAAGAAATTCAAGTCTTCAAGATCAGTGAAGAAAGTTAAAGCCACTGTATTCTGAGATGAGATGCAAAGGGTGTGATCCATGTTGATTACTTAGGAAGTTCAAAAGACGATTACCAGCGTCTACTATGCTGATTTGGTTCATTGCCTGAGAGATTCTATCAAAGAAAAGGAACAAGGAATGCTGACTGCTGGAGTTCTATTACTTCATGACAATGCCTCTTCTCAAACCTCGCAACTTGCAAAGGCTGCTGTACGTGCAACAATGTAGGTTTGAAGAGCTTCCTCACCCTCCATACTCAACAGACCTGGTACCAATTGATTTCCACCTGTTTCCTAACAGAACACCTTCGTGAAGAGCGCTATGATGACAACGATGACCTCAAAACTGCCGTTAATGGGTTTTTCAGGGTGGCTTCAGAAAACTTCTTCCTGACTGGAATTGAAAAGCATCACTATCCATTTGAGAAGTGTATTGAAAAGCAGGGAGATTATGTTGAAAAATAAAATTAAAAACACTATCACAATTGGTTTTGTTTGTTAGGCTTAGAACTTTTTGACCAGCCCTCGTACAGTTCATGATAATGTAGAAATGATCCACAGAAGAGTTTGTCAATTTATTTTAGAAATAGGGTATAAGTCATTAAATTGTGTTGCTTACTCAGAGAAACTGGAAGATGTCCATGGTATGGTGTCTCTGTCACTAAGTGCATAAAGTACTGGCTCTGTCTTTTGAGACTATCACCTGACAGGTATGTTTATAAGTGCTATACAATGTTGTTATCTGTGGCCAGCGTAACAGATGTACGTTGCCTGAGGATGAATATCATATTCTGTATAACAGTGTTTTATATAATGACAAAAAGGACCAGTTACTTCCATACAATTGTGACATGTATTACTGCATTGCTTCTCTGTGTATTTAATCTCAACCAGAACTAGTTGTAAAATGTGCTAAGTTTGTAATGTACCGTATATCGCTGTGTATAAGGCGACTTTTTTCGTACCTAGAATTAGGGGGCTTTCAAGGGGGGTCATCTTATACATAGGGTTGAAGAGTTTTTGATGTTTTTTTCCCCCAACACAAAGACATTACCATGAGCACGTAACACCGTAAATACCATGCCAACAAATCCGTACTGAAGTATGCAAACTAATCATGTAATTACGGAAGATCGCACAACTCATGTTATTTACAGCAACCACGGTCAGATTACCGCTATTGATGCCTTGAAACAAACTTTAGTGGATAGAGAATGTATTTATATACCATAAATGCCATACATTGACTCACTGAAAGTCACATTTATTGTAATGTGACTATTAACTGTCAACATAAAGTTCTTGCTATCGCAGACGGGAGAGCATCGACGGTAACTGGTCAGATTGTTCCATACTAAAAATTATCTGGCAATAGCGATCAAAATTGTATTCAAAATGCGGGAGGAATTTAAATGTGCATGACTCTCTACAATAATGTATGGAAGAATTTATGTAATATGGGTCTTGTTTTTACAACAATAAAATCTATTTCTCTGTCATATAATGTTTCTTTTTGGAAGAGAGATGTCTTTTCATACAAGTAAACTGGGCAGATGCACTGAAAATGAGTACATGAGCCTGCTTTATGAAACTGGGGATTCAGAAATTTTACATTATATTTTAACAATAACAGAAACAATTTTACTTTAAATAATCAGTTGTAATAAATTGTTTGTGAATTATTTAAAAAAAGAAAAACCATGTCAACTGATTCTTGTTTAATACATTCCTTAAATAGTTGTTTTATGCAATTAAAAGAAGAATTATCACTCACACTGAAAGTGACTGTTAGCAAAGTGATACCTGAAGGTCAAGTTGTGGCCAGGAATATCGCCCTCTCTGTGGGGGGCTCTCATGTCATCATTGGGAATATCAGACACACTATCAGATGATGGGATATTCCTTATCTTGTACATGTATATGTTATGCAGAAGTCCACAACATGTAACGATTTTACATGCTTTAATTGGAGAAAGGCGATTCTCTCCATCTGAGATGTGGAACCATGACTTGAGATGGCCTATGCCTCTTTCCATGACACTCCGGATCCTTTTATGTGCTCTGTGAATCCAGTTCAGAAAATGTCTCATACACATATATTCAAAAACAAAAGTTCCTGTGACACCAATATTTTAGTGTATATTTCAACAAGTAAAGTTTGGTTTACAATATTGTAGTACATGTATGGAATCAACTGGATTCGAACAACACACCTACGAAATCGATTCCAGCCAGCAGTGACTGCAAGAAGCATCCGTGGCCTTTGATGAATATCTTCACAAACCGTACATCGTCGCCTCAGATGTGCAGGGATTGTCGCCAGAAGACCCGCCAGACGTCCCATTTTAAAAGTAAACCACGGTCAAGCACGTCTACAGTGGTGCAGACAGCATCTACGCTGGACGGCCATGCAGTGGGTCAAGTTCTATTCACTGACGAGTCTCGTTTTAACCTCAGCCCAAGTGATGGAACGGATTCGAGTGTACCGACGCCGAGGTGAACGTTACGTCAATCATTGTGTCATGGAAGAAGATCAGTTCGGGGGCGGCAGCATTATGGTATGGGGTGGGATTACAGCGAGACAGAGGACCCGTTTGATAGTGGTAGAAGGAAATCTCAATGGACAGCGCTACCGCAACAAGATCATTGGCCCTGTTGGACTACTGTTTTTGCGTCATCATGGCCCAGGCATTACCTTTCAACATGACAACACCCGGCCTCATATTGCTCGACTTGTTCAGGATTCTCTACAACAAAACAACGTGAATGTCATCCCCTGGCTGGCTGGCTCAACTGATCTCTCACCAATCGAGCACATGTGGGATGAGATGGATCGGCGTCTTCGACGTCAACCACGTGTTCCACAGACACTCCAGAAACTTCGAAACATGCTCCAGCAGATATGGACAGATATCCCACAAGACTTTGTGCAATGCCTGGTCCATTCCATGAGACGAAGATGTTTTGCTTGCATCGCAACCAGCGGTGGAAACACACGCTATTGATTTGTAAATTGACATTTTGGCATGTTCATGTTTTTTATGAAATCACACATTTTCTGAAGTCAGTATGGCAAATTAAACCATTTGAACACTTACAGGAGTCTTTTATTTGTTGCAAACCGAAATTGTTTCAGTTTTGGTAAAATACATAATTTTGCATTAAATCTTATTCAATGTCACAGGAACTTTTGTTGTTCAGTATATATATAATGTTACAGTCAGTGTGTAAAACAAAGTGAATGAAAAGTCTGCCCATTTAATTTATAATGATAATGAATTCCAAACATTTTTATGCTCTATTTCATCACTCAGTGATTGAACATGATAGGATTAAAAGAAAATGAAAGTTGATTTATTTTATCTTGTAATATCCTAACATAATTACCAAATAAGACAATTGTGGTGTGTGTAAGCCCTTTTGAACTCTTAATAATTTTTACCTAGTCTGTTAAATGGACCAATTTGTAAGTCACTTTTTATAATGACTGAACTATTTAGGCTTTTTTTAAACTGCCTAAGTGAATCACATTTTACACATTGACTGTAAGATATATAAAACAATGTTTTGAGTTTTAAACATAATTATGATTGAATTTATTTTCAAAATATTGCTGAATTTTCTGTCATTAAATAGAATTCTTATTATTATATGTGTAACTTTTTTATGTATTCTTTCGATGTATATGAACAAATAGATATACGTTTCACAACAACCAATTCTCACTTTTGTAATTTTGGAGGAGGATAACTTTCATTACGATTGTGTGTTTACAATGTAGGAGAATATTACCGATTGTAGGAGCTCTGTGAGCCAGGATTTGGTCTCAGGTACAGAGTAAGCAGCCAGTTTCTGCAGGGGTAGCCACTATCTCCAAGTAGGTGACATCCAGATGGCACAATGTGTCGTTCAAATAAAACTATAAAGTCCGCTTTTGTTGAGGATTCTAGAGTTGTTTGTCAACAGATTGTGCAATAATCTGCACATGGATCCCACTCAATTACTCCAACAATGCCAGAGAAGTGAGCGATGTTGTAAAACGCTGCTTGATTCCGACAGATGCAACCCTGCGATGTTGGAAAGTGGATGAACTGAAAGTTATTTGGGCATCGGACAAAGCTGACACAGTCTGATATATTGCTTGACTGACCGTTGATTGGGAAACCCCCAAATCATCCCCTTTGCATAGCTGCATTTTGCCTGTAGCAAAATAATGTAGCATTGCTACAACCTTTACAGTTTCTGTCATGACATGAGAACGAGAGGTGCTTGGATATATTCCATCAGTTATTAGGCCAGTCACATATTCTATACCACACTTGTTTAACCTGTATCTTCTTGTTATTTCTTTGTCAGAATATATTTGAAGTATATCTCATCTAGCGGTGGTTTGTAGAATACCTATGGCAGCCATATTGGATATCTTAAAAAATTTCTTAAGGACTTAAGTAAGCTCATGAGGTAACTTAAACTTAAGCAAAGAACTAAGCACTAAGAAGCTATGTGAATATGATATAAGAAATTACTTAAAACTTAAGTAAAGGCAAAAGAACGATAGTACATAAAGTCTTCAATACATTATCATTATTGTTGAAAGTTATACACATTTAAATTCTTCCCGCATTTCTTATAAATATTTAAGAAATTTAGCAAATTTTAAAATTAGTTCTGGTTTAGATATGTACACAGAGAAGCAATGTTGTAATACATATCACAATTTCTCGGAAGTAACTGGCCCTGTTTATCATCATATCAAATACAGTGACACAGAATAAGATATTCATCCTCACTGGCCACTGGCCATAGATAACAATGTTTTATAGCACTGATAAACGTACCTGTCAGTTGATAGTCTCAACAGACAGAGCCAGTACTTTCTACACTTAGTGACATAGACACCCCCTAATGGACATTAGATAAGTAACACAATTTGATGACTGGTACCCTATTCCTAATCTATTCCTATTTACCAAATCTTTTGAGGATCATTTTGACATTATCCTGAACTGTATGCCTCCTTGTTGTGGGAACAATATTCTTATAAAAATATGAAAGGCATTCAACACAGATACACAATACTGTTCAATGAAATATTTAACTGGAAAAAGTGTGTTACAAGCTTAGTCGGCTAAGGTCTTACATTTTATTGATTTTATCCATATCATTGGCACCCAAATACAAAGATTTTGAACCCTGAAATGCAATGTTGCTGTAAGCAGTAGTAAAACATGAGAATATGGTTGAATGAAAACACATTCAAATTATGACATGTTATCAATGTATCTATTGATAGAAGTTACATTTCACACACTGTTACCTCACACATTAACCAATATTATATTATTGAAGATAAATTTAAACTGAAAAGGAGTATGGTTCTGTCAAAATAGGTTTCACATCTTTCTCTTCAAAGAATACATTACATTTTGAAAACATATGGTAAACTCTCTGGCCTTAAAAAGTGATATGCATACATGGTATAAATATAAATTCTATTCATTCTGCAGTTTTTGAAGTTGAATTTCCATAATTTTCTTCTTAAGACTTAAACATTCAGTTTCAAGTTTAAGTTTTTTGAAGAGTAACTCATCATAACTTTCCCCCAACAGGAATGTTTGTCTCGAGGATTTTGGCTCCTGGACAGTGCTCCATCCTGCTGGTCTCTTCATGGATCCCAGTGCTGAGGAGGCGGTATCTGGCACTGATGGTTCCGGCTGTGAAGGCACAGACACTGTTGATGCAGTAGGGACAGCTGCTCCCATGGCCTGGAGTGTCTGCATGTCAAGCGCTGCCATGTCACTGTATTCACTGTATATAAATGGACAGAAAATGTTTTAGTCATTGTTATTTTTGGGTATCTATGTATCTGAATAGGGTAAAAAAAATAAGGGAATATCTTCAGTCTCAAACACATGGAGTCATCACTGATTTTTAGTGATCCCTTCAAATACTTTTCACCACAATCTTGCACTTTGCAGGATTTGTTTAGGTGGATAATCAAGATTGGTTATTCTCTGTCATTGATGTGTTATATAATTTAATATGGATGCTTTTATAGTAATGTGTATGACCATGTATACACAGAAGGTACTTTGCTAACATAATAGTTTTTCATAGCAAATCATTTAAGTAGAGTTATGCTATATGAATGATTATACTCAATACAAGGGCAAGGGAATACATCAGTAGAATTACCTTGCATTAACTGTGTCAGAAAGGCTGACCCCCTGTAGGAGGGATGTGTCCATAGCTGATGGTATTCCAGATATGGATACATTATTCTGTCCCAGAATATCCCTCACTACCTCTGATGTGGCACTCAAAGTAGGGCATGGTGATAAACCACCACCTGTCGAAGTAAAAAATTATTGTTACTTTAATACATTACAAAATTGAGAGAGTTTTATTCCGAATCAATGTGTTAAATAATACTAAAGTAACAATTGAAGACAACCTTAAAATTTGTTTCAAATTTAGGAATCTTTATAAATATGCACATTCATCATGACTAACCTAAGAGTTGTATACATATGTAAATTCAAACTTTTAAGAATTGATTATACACTGTAAGCGACACCAAAATGTACTTAATGACACCAAATACAATTTTTTTTAACTTGAAAGCTAACTTAGACAATAATTGTATCACATTAAGATTAAATGTATCTCAGATCTGGTGATTTATGCACTTTAAAACTACTATTACAGTTCAGTGTTGCAAAATGTGAACTACAATAATTACCTGTGCTGATAACACCTTGCTTGTACCTTGCAATTTCTCCCCTGGCTTTACTTTGGATGTTATGCCATTTTTTTTCCCCACCTATTTAGGGGCTCTGATGCATCCTATGATTTACATAAAAATATTCAATTCTCAATTGTGTAATGTAAATTTCAGAAATAAACGAATAGGTACTGGATGTGGCACTGTGATATAACTGAAAACTTGTACAAGAACATTTATTTTTTCTTTCCCTGAAAATAAATTTATGTTAAATATGATACAATACAATACAATCTAGTTCTATATATTTCAATACCAAAGAGTGGCACAAACTATCTTTATGGTCTGCCGTACATGCTGTGTTGATCATGTGGGTCAACTCTACCCACTTTTCCTTTTTCTTTTGCGCTGTCACACCTGCCCCGAACTTTCCTAACAAAACCGCTTTGTTTTCGTCAACAAGTTTCGTCAGGAGCAGGTTTTGGTCCTCAGACCAGTTGGGTTTTCGCTTTTTTTCAGTCATGTTCGCTGGCTGCCGCCGATATTCCCGCTGAACGAAAATAGGTTGTCTGCCAAAACTTTTGATTTTCGCGTTTTCAACACTGAAGAGTCGTGTTTTGTTGCTATTTATAGATAAGGGAATCTCCAAAACGTCACTCGAAAGGTGTTAAGAATATTCTTAGTCCAAACTTTATATCCCAAGATGCAACGGGGTAGACTAAGAAAAATCTTAGATATTATACCAATACTTTGCTAAGAATCATACTTAGACTGTTTGTGAATTGATACTTAAGATTTTTTCTTAGCTAAGAATTTTTAAGAAAGCTTAAGTCAATTTCTTAGAAAATTCTAAGAAGCTTTGTGAATACCGCCCCTGGGGCCTGTTCCACAAAGCGATCATAGCGCTACTACAGTCGTAAGTCTATGTTAAAGTATAGGAGTTTCTAGGTCTTAGAGCTACGACCGCTTTGTGGAAGGGAGCCCTGAGGAGTGTGATGAAGTCTATCAGTGCGGGTTGGGTTGTGTCGGCCTTTGACGAAGTGTTGCATGGGTGGCGTCTGTCTGGACTGCTGGAGTGGTCAATGATGCCGAGTTTGACACGATTGGGTAGAACTCTTTATAACTCACCGGATGCCTATTGTGTAATTCCTATACTTTGAATGACATTTTTATGTACTTGTTACAACTGCTGCTCAATAAATCGTATTTGTGTTTATATTCAAGTTAGAATTTAAGCTATCCAAAATGTGCAGTGATGTCGTCTTATTGTTGATGGTCATTTTGGAGACATAAATGTGAAGTTTCATTAATGCAAACAAAGACCACTCACATTTTCCCATTTAATTCATGCTCGCATTAATTTCAAGATCTACAGTACATCAGTGCCAGAAATCCTGTATCTCGGCTTGGATCACACCATAAGACGTTTATAGTTTCAACAGAAGTCCTCTTCACTGTCAACTATCCACAAGTAGTTAAGATACCAATAAGTCAGGAAGTCTTCACTTCTTTCCTGTGTGTGCTACTGTTGACATCAACATTATTTTAAAACATCTGTGTTGTCATAGGATGGAACATGGGACATCATATGTGAGATAAATGTTATTCAATAGTGGTTTTGCATATGTCTGGTTATTCCAAGATGTTGGTGATAAGAACATGTTTTTTTCTACATTTAGAAGATGTGTAACAAAAATAACAGATATTCATTTCCTACCATGGCACCAAAGTTTAGAGTCTTCTACAATTTTAGTGCATTATGTTACTATAAAAGCTCTTCTGCAAGCTGAATTATATATAAATGTTTTCTGAGACAAACGGTAGTTAGAGCAGTGTGTAAATTTAGAATATCTCTTCTCAACATTTGAGGAAACATTATTCATTAAAAGTCATTGTTAAACATGTCATACAGAATCTGATGTAAAGACTGTGACCCATCATTTAGTAGAGGATCAATACCATGTCCTTTTTTATATGTAAGAAATATACTCACTTGAGAAATAGTTTTCTTACCTCATTGCAGAAATATTTTAAAGGTAGAATTATGTTTGCATAATGTGTTTAACGCATGTGATATTTTTTAAACACTCCATGTCAAGTAACCTGCCTTACCAAAAGTTGACAAGGCAAGAGAAATAAGAAATGTGTATATTGGGTTCAAGGTCAAAGGTGTGGTGGGACTTGTGGGCTGCATTAAGCTATTATTAGAATGAGTTATAATGGGCGACTTGTGTTACCAGCAAGCAGCAACAGTAGTGGGCAAATATGTTGCCAGCTGCAAAATACTAAATCTCTGCTTAAACGCAGACCTTAATTAAGTAAAGCCAAAAGGTTCCAATCTGCTGAGAAGCAGAAGGACTAAACAGATTCCTGCTGAAGAGCAGGGATCTGATTAATTTGATGATTAGTTGCTGATCTGCAATGTACAATTGTCAATCCACTGAACATGCTGAAAGATTTAGACGCCATTGTCATAGGTGGGAATTCAAGCCAGATAGAGAGATCTTCTGTCAATCCCTCTACAAGACATATGACTGTAGATCTCACTTTGTTACCTTTTAAGTACCTACAGTCAACATACCTTTCTCAACACATCAGTCTTGTTTTGCGGTATCCTAACCTGCATTGCCACAGTGTCAATTTGCAGTCGTTGCCACTTCAAAGAGCTCAGGCATTTGCAAGCTTACATGAAGGTTATCTCTACATTCCTGTGTACCTGCCTGACTGCCAGTTAAGGAATCATCTAAGTAGTGCATAATCTGTTGGTTTGAAAGTTGCTGCTGTATACACCACTGCAGAAAGGTACTGAAAGTTTCAAATATCAGACATGAAATTGAAAAACCAAACGGCAAACTTTTATCAGCATAAAAGCTACCTTGAAAGGAGATTCCCAGCAGTTCAAAATCTGGAACAATGCAAAATGCTGATTTAACATCAAATTTGGAAAGCAATCGTCTAGACGTAACTGCTATGCCATCCTCACTGCTTTGTCAAGACAAGCGTATGTGACTCAGCAATCCTGTGGAGAAATGTTGTCATACTGCCCCTGCAGATAAGAAAGGTGATGTATTTGTCTGAAGCCATCAGGTGACTTGCCCTCAGAGGATGGTTACTGACTCCTGTGTTTTGGGTACTAGGTCTGTTGGTGACACCTGTATGTTCTGGAAATAAGGGCGATTGAAAGACCTGGCCATTCTTCCCTAGTCTAACTCCTTATCCAGTTTTGATTGAACAATGCACCTTGCTTCTGGGTGCTGCCAGCTATGGGCCTAATGGGCAAGGTGGATTGAATCCAACTGAGACAAGCTGACCTCCACCTGAGGCATGAATCCTTGTTGAAATCCCAACAAATGGTGACAATTTGTTACTCATCTGTAGACCAACAGTCACCCTAAATGTGAATGCTGTATTACATTTAGCCTACATGTAAGACACCAAAACCCTGTACTATATGAACAGGGGCTTGTATCTCAATGTATATTGAAAATGTGAAAGGAAGTTGTCCATGCCCGATGCCAAGCGACTTGGCAAGCTGTGCGGCTGTACTTGTGTCACACACTACACACTACCTGTCTGTCCACAGTCTAAGGGTTCCTTCATCATCCTCAGCTTCATTCTCTTTTGGGGTCAGCATTGCCAGGTCCACATATTCCCCTTTCCAAATCTTTTCTCCTGGTTTGCTTTACATGTGCAGCGATGTTGGATGAGAGAGGATCTCCAAAGTGACCCATCATTCTCAGATCGTGACCCAAGGCTTGGATCAACACATGTCACCTGTGGCCCAACCTATCATTTGATTCATCATTTGACTACGAACCAGGACAGTCATTCTCAGAGATAATTGAGGAACTTTATCATCAGTCCCACAGATGTTAGAGTATGTGGTGTGCTGTGGGCCCACCACACTGAAGAACTTACAGGCCACTTGTTGTCTACCAAGTTAACAAATGGGTTGCGCAATCAGGAGTGATCATAACTTAAAACTTCTCCATTGAAACAGAGAACATACTACACTCATGATTGCCCTTTACCTGGACGAGGAGTTCTACATTTTTGTCAAGTCTCCTTACATGACACCACCAAATTCCATTGACAAGAGTTCGGGATATGGACTTTGGACATTGGGGCCTTTATCAATTTGTTCACCATGTTGTCCCACCACTGCTGGAATCTTATACTGGGTTACCAGGTATTGACTAGTTCGGTAGTATGCACTGATTAATGGATCATATTGTGAGGAAGCAGGAGGAGCTACTCACCGCCTAAATGTGAATGTCCACCCAGTTACCTTGGATGCAGAGGCAGCACCTTCTCTCCTCACAGTGCTGGTCTCAGAGCAGACAAGGAAGACTGTCATGAAACAACCCTCACCTATTTAATTAAGAAATAAACGATGAGAGGCAGTTGTTTATTTTACAATAAAACACAGCAGGGAGAATATATTATGAAGGAGGCACAGCCATTCAAATCTCCAGAAATGACGTCATGATAGAACAGTGTTTTATTGTTCTCTGGGATTTATCACATAGCTATGTTATATTGGTCAATAGAAGAAGATATCAGATGGACAAGCCTCTGTGCTGACAAAACTACATTGGATGACTCAGGATGATTACCAACAACCTCATTATCATTTCTGGGGCCACTAGAAGGGAAAACCTCTTGGAAGTTGTGACACCTGGTACTGACTGTGAGGCACTTACATCATTTGGACCAAACCCTATTGACCTGGCTATGTCTATGGATTCTTGTGTACCAAAATTCAAACTAACCCAAATAAGAGGACCAGTGGGGGACGATTGGTACCATTCGCTGAAAATCAAACGCATATCTTGTCCAACCACTGGATTCATACCTGGTTCTGGAAGGATACAAGTTCCTTTTCATTGATGACCAAATCTTGTCTCCCAGCCAGCAGGCCATCGGTTCTATCTGGAAGGTCCCAAGCAGGCAGCCTCCTTGGCTATTCAGACACTATTATACGAGGGGTGTTCATTAAAGATTTCCCCTTAACCACTTAGGGTTATCATATTTGGTTGAGATTTCACATGTGTAATGATACATGTATCTATGGGTTATGTCTGAATTTGCAGCACCGAACTATTAATCTTACCACTTTTACAGGTGTTATGATCGAGTAGGGTGTGACAATGGAGCCAGTAGAATACCGAGCAGTGATTAGGTTTTTATATTTGAAAGGTCGCACACCAAAAGAAACTTTCGATGAAATGAAAGCAACTTATGGGGAAGATGCCCCATCATATGACGTTGTTAAACACTGGCATCGCCAGTCCAAGTGTGGTCGGACATCTGTGGAAACAGCTGCCCTTCCTGGTCGCCCCCATTCAGCCATTGATGAGGACACTATCCATCAAGTGGAGACCGCCATTTTGGCAGACCGACGTATAACTGTTCGCCAATTAGCACAAGATGTCAAGATCAGTGTAGGGTCTGTGGAAAAAATCATCCATGACAATTTGAACATGCATAAGGTGTCTGCACGATGGATTCCCAGGTTGCTCACACCTTTCCAAAAGCAGGAACGAGTCAATTGCTCAAAGGATCTTTTGGACATGTGCCAAAAAAAACAGGCAAACTTTTTTGACAGACTTATCACACAGGATGAAACATGGGTCCATCACTATGATCCTGAGACTAAAATTCAGTGGATGCAATGGAAGCATGTGGAGTCACCACCCCTAAAGAAGGCACGTGTCCAACCCTCTGCAGGCAAGGTCATGCTCACGGTGTTTTGGGACCAGCACAGAGTAGTGATGATGGATTTCTTGGCAAAGGGTACCACAATTACAGGAGCTTATTATGCTTCACTGCTGCGGAAATTGCGGGACGCTATCAAGCTTAAGAGGCGTGGCATGCTGACCAAAGGTGTCCGTCTCCTGCTAGACAATGCTCCAGTACACAACTCTCATGTTGCCCAGACAGAAGCGCGGTCCTGTGGCTATGAAATCCTTCCACATCCTCCTTACTCTCCTGACCTTGCACCATCTGACTTCCACCTCTTTCCAACCATGAAGTCATTTTTGAAGGGAAAACGTTTCACAGATGATGAAACACTGATTTCTGAAGTCAAGTCCTGGTTTGAGACGCAAAATGAGGGCTTTTACAAGCGAGGTCTCCATAGTTGCATAAAACGATGGGAGAAGTGTGTAACTCTTGTTGGTTCCTATGTGGAGAAAGACTAATACCTATGCAAAGTTTCATTCCACTAGGTCCATCGGAAGTGGGTCAGGGGAAATCTTTAATGAACACCCCTTGTACAAGTATGCTATACAGGAACTGGAGGATTAGGGATCACAGCAAAGTCTTCTTTTCTCTTGTCTTTGTTGTACCCAAGGAAAACACTATCGAAATGTGCATGATCATCAGTTTGAACAACAAGAAAAATCTTATATATGCCCACCAAAATTCCAGATGGAATCACTACTCATGTTCACATATGGCTCTGGACTGAGGATTGGATGATCAGCCTTGACCTCAATGATCCATACCTATTTGTGCCAATTCACTCTGGATCCAGGAAATATTTCAAATTCTCAGTCAACAGTACTTCCGGTCACTTCTAGGTTATCCCCCTGGATAATCACACCAATTATCAGTTTTGCTCGCCTCCAACAAGTGCTTATCAATGGATATATCGACAACTTCCTGATCAGCCTGATCAGTACACAATTGCAGATTTGTCAGAACACCATCTTCCTGATCCAACTGCTGTTTCACACCACCAAGTCGGAGCTCAACCTAGTAGAGGATATCACCCAAGTGGTGCCTTATGTCCAGAGACAGGGAGGAACCATGTTGATTGGATTGATGCACGAGACTACATATGTATTTGCCTTGGATGACTCGAGCCATTGCACGATGGATGCCTGCCACATTTCATGGGGAACTCAACATCTGGGCAGACAGCCTTTCTTGATGGAGGATAGTGGCTGCAGAATGGGTCTCTCAACGAAACTGTTGAAGTGGACGTGATTCCATGGAGTTCTTTGCATACAACTATCCCACTTGGTCTCTTCTAGACAGAGTACTTCGGAAGATGGAAAACGCAGACTGCACAATCATTCTTATAGCACAGGTATGTCTGACTGGCTGTTTTCCAGACGGTTCTGTTACTATGGGATGAATTCCTCTGACTGCTAAACACTAAGATCACCTCTTCCAACCCAGATCAGACATCATGTATGGCATCCTACACTCCCTCCACCTGTACACTTGGAAGTAATTGCACATCTATTAACCTCACTTCATGGACAAATTTATAGTCTCCATGTGTCAGTGGTGCTCCTACACTGCATTCACTACTACTAGGGTATCAACAGCCTCTGTCCAGTCATCGCAGCCCAGTCGATCATCACCCAGTAGATCATCACCCAGTAGCTCCCCACCCCCTCGAAAAAGAGTTGGGCGGTTACAGCAGCAACAGCCTTGGAAGGCAGATTAAGCTTTTGTACTCTATTGGCTACAAGGTGAAGGACAGGTCATAGGTTAACAGCAAGTGATCATGCTCATAAGTCACAGAAATTATGTCAAGGCTGGAAGTCACGTCATTAGAACCGGGAGAAACTTATAGGTGTCACAGTCTGGAAGGTTCCATCAGGACAAGGCTGCTAGGGATTGATTGATGATGTCACAATTGTTAGTAATTGGAAGCAGATATGATGGTAATTCTATGGAAGTTTTCCTCATATTTGCATTTGCCTTGGGCCTTATTTTGGGATTATGTGCACCTAATATTGGTCAAAACAACTAGTATGGTTTGTTTAGAACAATTAGGAACACCTCCCAAAAACTGGATTATAATTTAAAAAAACAATTTTGATGTGACTCAAGGGTTAATTTTCTTCTATTTGAAGGAATTATTAAACAACAGAAATAGTTATCAAAGTTAATAATTCAAAGAATACTACCTCATCAGGAGTAATACAGCTTACCTCACCAATATTCTGCATCGAGGTGGCTGATGTTGGAAGAAGTGAAGACTTCCTGTCTGCACATGCACAGAGTTTTAGGAGGGAGATATTATTAGTATCTCAACTGGTTATGGATAGTTGACAGTGAAGAGGACTTCTGTTTAAATCCAAAGATTTTATGGTGTGATGATAGCCAAAATACAGCACTGATGTAATAGAGGTAGTGTTCTTAGAATTATTAACAATGCTAACTATTGTTTGATGTCTGATAATTTTCATAAATATTTTGAAAGTTTTCTCCAAATTTTAAATTTTCCAGTGGGCCAATAAGAGCCCTTTTCCAACCTTGTCCTTTGCAAAACTATTGATAGCTGTCTAGATAGTGATAACACTGTACATGCTGTGGCAAACATGGTTAAACAAATGGGTGATATATCTTTCTATGTACACCATTGTGCCACCATGTGGGGACAGAGATTAGAATAGATAGTCTGAAGTTCCTATCAATAATATGGTGAATTTGATTTTTCAGAAAGCAGTTTCCATGATGCATCCAAGTTTGAAGGATATGGCACTGCAGAACTTAGTGATGCAAAAGGTAATTTTCAGGTTGCCTCCTCTGACTAGCCACATGGGTAAACACACTCTCCTGAAATTTTCTCCAAACTCTATAAGAAGTGTTCCTCAATATGCATAAACTTTAAGTATATGTGGTCAATAGTGAATGTTGACTTTGTATGAGACAGATTGAAACATTTTTTACAACTAAGCAAAATACTGGTCATAGGTCAGCCCGTCCATTCCATGCTTGATTCTCCAATCCTGTTGGTAAGTAAATTTGGTCACATGAAAACTGTGAACTGTCTTATAATATTTTCCCAATATTTTCCATATGCCTCAAAACCAATCAGCTATCATTGACATTAACAATGAACTAGCAGAAATTCAGGAAACTTTAGTGGATATGCTGATAAATACTGAATTTGAACACTTTATTGAACAAATACTAAAGAAAACATTGTGGCTGAAAACGAGAAACTCGTGAAACGAAACACAGTCAGAGACACTATAATGTCAGATCTAAAATAAGGTCTGGAAATGCAAAGTCCTATCCAAAATGATCATTGAGTTTGGCTAACCAGAAGGAACAATTTTCTCATAAGAATAATGTCAAAATATGTTACTTTCCTGTATCACAAGATAATGAAAAGTTCATTGGATTACGGGAGATAGAGAAGTGATAGTTGATAAGGAAGATGTAGTGGCTGTCCACAGAACTGACCATCGTGACAAGACCACACAATAAAAAATGAAGACTATTTGAGCCATGAGACAGGTTCGCGACGAATTAACCAATTAAGGCCAACGTTATACTCATCAATAGACACAAAAGCCATTCATTGATAGAAAACACCTAGTATTTTGATGGCCATGTGTATGAATGAAACGAAAAAATGTTTAAGTTCTACCTCAATGTTGTTGTAGACAATGCGTTCCCAATCTGATCACAAAAATTGCATTAAAGCAAGAATAGAGAGCTTATGTGTCCCTGTGAATAATGAAAATCAGTGACTCGAAGTGATTTGATGACCTTTCACTGAAGTGTTACTATCAAGAATGACCCCCCTACCCACTTGGACAGACACATTGCATGGTCCATGTGCAATGTTTTGGGTTTGTTGGGGTATTAGGATCACTGGCAGTCATTTTTCAAAGCTGATCTTTCTTTTGATGACCGATTTCTGATGAATTTAATCCCTACAACCTCCTGTGTTGCTTAAGGTAATAAGAGTATCTGATAAGATGAATGGTGTCACAAATCCTTGTGCTGCTTGTGCATTTTATGGGCTGTCAGTACACCACAGACACAATTTAATCTTGAATGTGGTCAAGCTTTGATAACAAGAATTCCAAGAAGGAGAAAGGCAACATTATAAAGAGGTGGTATTGCCCTGGTTCATGTTGGCATAAACATTGCTCCAACTCGTCTCACTGATGCTCATTTGGGTTGAGATCCCAAGTTACACAATATTTTCATGAAGCATCGCATTTACATCACCGAAATTTACTTTTGGAAATATTGTTACCATCTAGTATGCCGTCTTTGATAGGTATTTAGAATATTTTTATCAGTGTCGAATAATAATTGTTTGGCTTTGTAATGTACTGTCATCGATCGATAATGTGAGTAGGTCGGCGATCGGACCAATTTTCTTCCAAAAAACTTAAAATAGAACAACACTTATTTAGATTCTACATGTATAACATCCAGTCGTAAAATAATACAGACTACTTTGATTAATTTACACAAAGTATTTTTATTTTTTTACGCATGCAGTTTGAATCATCGTCCACGATCAGTGTTACATACATCTACATGTCCCATGCCACTGTGAAATAATTGCGCCACTGTTCCATTCACTACCATCATTACGTAATGTGAACCTCAGCAAGGAATATCTGTACAACGCTCTTTCCTAGAACGCGGGGTCGGTTTCTTGGACCCCGATGACAGCGGTATATCGAGGGATCACTGTATAAACATATTATATTTTGCAGGAAATAGAATTTCACACTCGAGAGCAACAGGACCTGCAGGAGGTGATCCAACACATGGAGGCAGAGGTAGATCATATGCTGCGGGATCCACTCACAAATACAAGGCTGCAGATGTTTCCAGAGTTTTATTCCTCAGCAAAAAAGTAAACATTTCTTATTTCCCTTTGAGACAAGGGCTCACTTGACAGAATGTATGTAATTCTTATGAATATAAAACCTCTGTTACATCAGTGACAGAAATCATGTATTTTGGCTGGAAGACACTAAAAAATCTTTTCACTGGCAACCATCCATAACCACTTGAAATACTACCATAATTTCTTGAATATGGTGCACACTTTTATGCCAAAAGACACAGCTGTGTAGAAGGGGGTGGGCATTATACACAACATAGCGAGTTTTGATGTTTTTTCCCCCAATGGAAAGACATTACCGTGAGCATGAAACACCGGAAATACCATGTCAACAAATCCATACTGAAGTACGCAAATTAATCATGTAATAACACTGTCTGGTTATAAAAAGTGTTGATTGTATATCTGGACTTATGTTTGTAACTTATTTAATTAATTTCATTCAAAATTCCTTTTAATATTGTTTTTATTAATTTCGGTGAAATTGTGTGTGAAGCTATCAGAAGATCGCACAACTCATCGTTATTAACAGCAACCACGGTCAGATTACCCTTATAGACGCCTTGAAACGAACTTTAGTTGACAGAGAATGGATACATATATCATAAATGCCATACTTATTAAAAGTCATATTTGTTGTAGTTTGAGGATATATGTCAACATGGAGTTCTCGCGATCACATGCCCAGGAGCCTCGACGGTGACTGGTCAAATCGTTCCATATGAAAAAACAAAAACAGCAATAGCGATCAGCTGCACCGAAGTGCTACACTTAGGGTTATTATTACTTTAAATATATTTAGTAAAGGGATAAGGATATATTATTCCTGATAAAAAAATAGTTTCAGATATAGTTTTTTCCCAATCCTTACATCAAAATCCTTCAAAGTTATATCATAGGGTAAGTTTTTCCAAGGAAACGTGTGTACAGCTGATTGCTGTTTCCGACTAAGTTTTCGAGAAAATGACAAGGTAATCAGAACAAAAAGTACAATTTGAATGGTAAATCAACATGTCTGGTGATTTTTTTATCTCAAATTTCAAATTTGTACTGACCAAGTTTCTTATCAGCTGTTTGTTTACCGGAATTCGCTGAAGGAGTATGGTGTAATTTTTTGCTGCGCGTAATATTCGAAAAAAAATGATTTCAAAACTACTGAATCCACTAGAGGGGGGTGCGCATTATACTTGGGTGCGCACTATACTCAAGAAAATAAGGTAAATGTATTTCCCTTCATAAACCTCTGTGTTCACGTCTTTCCAACATCACCAACCATGGATGCAGATAATTAGTGAGTTCTGTCATATTAGCCCAAATGTAAAACAGGTAGTAGTCTTTGAATTAACTCTTTCAACACTGTAGGTCGGTACACCGCCCAAGAAGGCTCCAGTCCCCAGACACTGCAGGCCAGTAGACCGACCAGGCCGTAGTCAAGTCAAAATAATATAAAATTTTCTTTTTAACCTACCTGTCATATCATTCATTTATTAATTCTATCACATTTCACAATGTCTGAAATACATATTCCATTTAAATTTATAATTTTTTATCAATAGATTAAAATATTACTCACTGTTTCTCGCAATGTTATTAAAAATAAAATTCTCGGACAAACACTTTGACAACGGTCCACACTGAACATGTCAAAGAGCAAAATAAAGACGTTACAAGCAAATCTTTAAGTATAGTACACAAAGTAATAAATAAAATCAACAAAAATATATCTAAAAGTTGCCAAACTTAAATATAAGTTATTATTTCCATCTTTTCATGCGATTTCTCGGCTCGGACATGATGTGTTGTGCCAAAATATATGCATGAAAAATCTTTGTCACAGCTCATAACCGAGCACGATACATCCATGAAGTTCCATATTTTTAATATAGATCGCAATTTCCTGCTTAAGACGTTCAGAATTACATGATTTAACAAAAACCTTTTCGTCAAAATCTGAAATTCATCATACACCAGGACGGCACCATTGCTGTAATTTGATTGGCTGCCTTAGGTCACATGCTCAAATTTGACCAATGACCAAGCAGATTTTGACAAGAAAGCGTAATTTTTATTCATAAAATCGCATGTTACAGCTATGAAAAGACTCGAAGGTGAAGTTACTATCGTGTAGATGAAAACATTAGCTTTCTGATGGTGTGTCACATAGCAGTCTTCGACACACATGTTATTCATATGAAGCTTTGAAAACGGAGGTATTTCTTCATGTTACTGAGCGGGCAGCCGCTGTTATTGGGAAATGGGTGATGACAGATACTTTTTATAATTCTTTAAAAAATAATTTTTCAATTACGTAAACAATGAAAATGAAAAGTAGTAGGTAAGTGGATTTTATTAAATTGTATGTTTTGCCGAAAATCAAATCCTCGCTTCCTTGGTTCTTAATCTGGATGTTATAAAAGTGTTATCTTACATTTTCTTATTTACAACAAACTAAATTAAGTTGTAAATAATGTGATAAACATAACTTTCATGGGTATAAGCACTAGGATTAGACCTTTCAAATGGAGTATAACATACAGTAGCAAAGATGTTTTACAAGCAGATATTTTCCTTGATAAATGTTCGCTTCATCTATCACACAAGAGTCTGGGAACTCCGTGTCACAGCAGTAAAAGCTTCTGGTTGACTGGTGTTGAATGAGTTAATAATAGTGATAACTATTATTTGATAGTCTATGAATACAAACTCAAAATAAGCAGTTTAGATACTAATAATATCTCTGTTCCTATACCTCTGCCCATGTGCAGACACTAATTATCTGTTTCTTCTCCTGTGTGTGTTACTGTAACATAAAAAAATAATAAAATAAAACAGAAAAATTCTAGTTGTGGAAAGTTGGTTGTTTTCACACAATATTAAAGTTCGGAATTTCAGTCCATGTAGTTTACAAAAAGACTAGATGCTGCTTCTAACTTGCGTGGAAGCTGAAGAGAATTAATTTATAGTAGGGTTTCAGTTTCTGAGGTGTTAAACGTGTCATGTGGAGCAAGATAGCATCTCCACCACGAACATGTACGGCATGTTGGCATTTTAAGGCCTTGGGTGACCCACATGGTACTTGATGGAAGTGCCAATCTTGTACAGAGTCCAGATGAACCTAGTGTGCTTCTCTCCCACTGGATGATTTTTTCAAGGTTGCTAAATCTTGGACAGTGTCAAGTGGCAGAGAAGAAAGTGGCAATTCTGACTTTTCACAGTCCAGTAAGTGTGAACCTTCCTGGGAAGCAGAACAACCCCAGGCCCCCTGTGTCTGACATGTCACCCAAGACAGGTGCCACGTCTCATCTTTCCCTGAGACCATCAGGAGAGCATGCAGGTCATGCTGGACAAGCTTCTGGGTGCAATCTCCTGACATTGGCAACCTTCCTGGAAAGCAGGACAACCCCAAGCCTCCCACGAAGTCAGATGCTCCTTCCCAGACATATGCCACAAATCAACTTTCCCAAAGTCTTTTGAAGGAGGACTGAATGAATAGCAGGAGAGCCACACAGATTACCAAGAAGCGACCTGTTAGTGTTAGTCACCAGTGCAGAAATCATGGTTAGTTCAGATATTGACCCACTCTGTTCACCAGATAACCCAGTCAGGTCAGGAGTACAGGAAGCTGTGCTGCATGTGCAAGGTATGGCAACTATCAACAACTTGGTTTGGGATCGTGACCTGGGGCTGGGAGTCTATGGTTTTGGATGAACATGTGTCACGTGTGACCCAGCTGATGCACAGTTCAGAGGACAGTCCTACTTACCCAGTCTTGGATCGAGAGCAGAGGGACTTCTGCAATTCTGATGGTTCACCTTCTGTGGGCATCATTTGACTACAAACCAAGATGGAGGTAATTGAGGAACTTTATCATCTCATCATTACTATCACTGCATCACCCTCTCCCATGACCAACTTACTATCAGTGGTTGTCTACCAAGTTAACAATTCGGTTGGGCAATCAAGGAGCCATGTGAACTTACCACTTCCTCCATTGAAACAGCAAATGTACTGCACACATGATTGCCCTTTACCTGATCCAACACCTTGGATGAGGATTTCTACAAACTTGTCAAGTCTCCTAACATGACAATACCGATTGCATTGACTAGACTCTGTGACATGGACTCTACCAACCAACTTTGCAATGGACATTTGGGTCGACATCAATTTCTTTGTGGCTAGAGTTCACCATGTTATCCTACAACAAGAGGACTCTGATGCTGGGATACGAGGGGAGACACGAGGAGACACCTGTTACCATCCACTCTGACCAGGTCGGTCTAATGCACAAATTTCTTAACTATATTGTAAGGATGCAGACAATTAAGACTGTCATGAACCAACCTATCACAGCCTTACTTATTTAATGACAATCGCAATAAGCCCCTGATGAAGGTGTGTGAGGACACCATGGATCGGTTCGGGCACTCAGTATAATTACCAACAACCTGATTACAATCAGCAGGGAGGAGGACACTATCATGGTTCCAGACACAAGGAGGGAAAACCTGTCGGGAGAAGTGATTGCTGCTACCGACTGTCAGGCAGTCAACCTGGCTATGTCTACCGACCTCTCGCCTGCCAAAATTCAATTTAACCCCAATATCAGGACCTGTTGAGGTACGACAATAGATGTCTTCCTGTAGGCCAATCAGGAGAAGATGCATATTCATCAGCGCACCATCTTCCTGATCCAACTGTTGTCTCATCTCAGATTCCTTGTTCACCAAATAAACAATCAGCTCAATCTAGCAAAGGATATCATCTATGTCAACACCACTTTCTAACTGGGAGGAGGAGTTTTCTCTCGAGATGCTGCAGATCCATTGAAGGATATCGCTTTGCCCTAACATCGTTTTTTCATCTATCAGAGATCCATCCTGTCCTCAACTGGCTCATCAGACCTTTCTTGCTAGAAGACATCAAAACCCTGTGCATGTTCTCCAAGTGAAACCTCTCTGTTTTTCTTTCCACTGTCTTAGAGGATCCGTTCGAACCTTTGACATCTGCCACATTCTTACAAACGACCTAGAAGATAGCATTCCTATTGGTGCCTGACTTTTCTTGACTGTTCAGGCTCTCCAATTCTATTTAGTAATGACACTACATAGGAGATCCAGAAACCCTTTCATTTCATGTAACAAAGCTTCAGATAAAGACATTACCACTACAGCATGACATGACCCCAACTACAATCTCCTGTGGTCGTTACTTTCACTGTTCATGAAATCAGGGCATTGTCTACCTGCCTAGCTTCAAGTAAAACAGTCTTGGTAGAACACTTCATCCCCAGGTGTCAATGCCGTTCCCACTGACACATGGGTATGCCTTATTCTACCATGACTGTCAATCATCACCTAGTAGTTTAATTGTATCATTTAGCCTACTGGGTGTTAGATAGGTCATGGAAATGATGTTAAGACCACGTCAGAACCGAAATTGATGTCATAGGCCTCATGGTCTGGAAGGTCATGTTGGGCCAAGGCCGCTTGGGATCTTTTAACGATGTCACAAATGGGGAATAGAACGCAATAATAATGGTAATTCTATGGAATTCTATCACATATTTGCCTAGGCATTATTCCGAAAACGCCTTTTGTGGGAATTTCAGGTTTATGTGCACCAAATATTGGTCAAATAGAATGTTTTTTGGAACAATTAGGTACTCCTTAAATACTGGAATCAGGAAAAAGACCTAATTTTAATGTGAATCATGGAGTACCTTGAATGAGTAGCATATTTGTCATTGTTATGTTGAAATCCACCAAAGGTTATCATATTTGGTTTATATGTTGGTTAGCCCTTTGAAATTTTTTTGAAACATTTTTCACTGATATTGAAGGTCTAATTCACCCTCCAGGTCAAACTCTCAAGAGTGATAACTCATGGAGGGTACACTGTAGGTCTATTAAACTTGGTAAAGGAAAGGGCACTGATTGGAAAAGATCCTGAGTGACCTAAGTGTAAGGTCTAGGTAATAGTGAAGATCATTCGGAAAGTATGGTGTCCATTATCACTCAATGCCTATTCCTTCAAACATTTGTGAAGCATGTAGTTGTTATATACTCTAAAAAAGAGTAGGAGATCATGAAATATAAATGGTATTACCAAGTATTAGAACAGAGATAAGTGTTCACGACAAACATCCTATGCAAGAACGTTTAAGTTCTGAAAAACTTAACTCCAAAACACATCCTAAAATTTGCACATGCCTCACGCAGTTGAGTGTCATTCCTGATTTTGACAATTTCATATAATATATTGGTCTGGTAAATCCCCATTTCCATTGAATATCAAATTGAGATCTTTGGCTATACTGCTTATGTTTCTAAGTAAAATGTCTCGTTCATTGAACAAGTCACATTCAAAGAAAAAATATATATGCATTTTCACATTTACTACCACATAAACATCCTGCTGTGTCTTTAAATCCTAGTCTATGTAAATCATCATTTAACTGACTAACCTTATGTCTAAGCGGAAACAGACAGCACATGCATGTGCAAATCTACATGTGAGACTGGTATTACTGTCAGAGTAAAACCACCTACAAATCTCCCATCCATTTGTTTTTCCCTGTAGTTTGCAGACACTATAGACACTACACTGCTTATATCTGTTAGCCAGTACACGAACATCTACGGTGTATTTTAAGTATCCTTGTATTTTGGCCTTGTCCCATTGCTTGTCTTCAATATGGTGAATTTGAGCATTGGCGTATCCCCATTGTTCTAAAGAGATACAGTACCTTGATCGATCTGGAGATTGACATGAAAAAGAACCACTGTCTGGTAATTCAGGCTTGTCTTGCTTTACTGAATCCCATAAATGTTCTGAGATTAATAGGGCTTTTCCCCTTCTCTTTGGTGGCCGGTCCTTCAAGGGAATGTTAGATAATAAGGTAACCAATGTGTGTTGACGCAAATTCCTAAGAAGTCGAGAGTTTCGTTCAGCATTATTGTCGACAGGATAGATTCAGCTGAATCAGATGCATGCCTCACATGTACAACAATGTTTACACGTGACACCACTACCAGTGACTGACTTTTATATATTGGCATGTTCATGGACAGCAGATTTACAGATGAGGACTTTTGTTGAGTCAGTGATTGTATAAATGACGATTTGTTTATCGTACCAAAAAACAACAGGGATAATAAACCACTCAGAGCGCACAATAAAACACTGCAGGGAGAATAAACCATGAGGAGCACAACCCCGAGTGGTTTATTCTCCCTGCAGTGTTTTATTGTACGATAAACAACAACCACAAGTCATTTATTTCTTACATGAGATATCAACATTATGTACAGCCTCTTTAAGGACATTGATAAAATGTACAAGCTTTAAAAATATTTACCCAAATTTTACTAATTATGACTCCCTTAATAGAATCTGACCTCAGAAATGTTGGACAAGTCCGTTTTATGAACAGGTGGGTTAAGTTTGTTTTTCCCGGCATATTCTCACAATCATCAAGTTGATTATCTGTACCTTTTCTCCTAACACAGATTATCATATCTCTCTCACTTTTGGATGCGCTCATTTGGCCAATGCGTTTATCTGTGTAGCCCAGTTATATCTATGGGGTACAACTTACCAGACACTTCCCTTTCAAAAATAACGTACATAATAACGTTCAATATATGACGTCATCAAGTTGCAAGCACATATTTGAATCTCCAGAAATGAGGTCATGATAGAACAAAGTTTTATCGTGAAATAATCCACGCTTCGTTCTTTATTGTTGTTTGTGATTTATCGCGTGGCTATCTTATATATATATACATAAATGTGTCACGTAATCAGAAACAATCTGACAATCTGTGTAACCAAGAGAGTTAATTTGGAAATGCAGAAATCTACTGTTGAAGTTGTGAGTGATTTTGCATCAGACAATGGAACCTCTGAAAAATCTTTTGAATTTACCAAGTCATTGTGATTCCATTTGTATCGGGCAGTCATATTAAAATTTAAATTTTAAAGCCTTCAACAAACATCCACACAAAATTTCAGCTGAATCCATTAATTCATTTCAGAGAACAAATAAGAAATGTAAATGTGTTTGGCCGACAGACGAAGACAACATAATGTCAGATGGCCTTTCATGCCAGATGAACTTAAGAGCTAGATTTCATTCATATGAACATATCTGAGAGGATGTCAGTGAATTGTCCAAGAGGGGAATTTCAATGTCTCTAATAGATTCCATATTAATAATCGATTATCAGTGGAACACTTTTGATCATTGTAATCATTTGTCCTACATTGGGTATTTTCAGGTGCACCCCGGACATGGAAGTGATCCTGGACATACCAACCCAAGAGTGGCTTCCCATTTAATTAAGCAGATCGCTGGGCAATGTAACAAAAAAGGAAAGGAAAGGAAAGGAAAACAGGAAAATCAATGTATTTTAGGGATGGATGTTACATTATTTTATGTAACTTGAATGTACAATTTCAGACTAGTACATACACAACCATTTTGAAAATGTAATATGGTTCCACTGCACAGACAGTTAATGTAATTTATCATCAAGAACTGCCTTCCACAGCGCTAACATGAGATGAAGCCATATCTTCTAGGAGATATCACTACAGTACAATTGCAGCACAATGCTTCGGAAGCCATTGTGACATCATTGGTTACCATGACAGCATAATCAAATAACATCACTTATCTATCTGCCAGTGAAGCTTGTCTATAGCTGTACCTTTACAATATAGACACTGGTTATTACTGTTTACAAACTGAAAATGTTTTCAGAAAGATTTCAAATTTCATTTTTTTATAACAGGTTACCAATCATAGCCATAGATACCAGTTTGAATAACATAATACAAAAGAGCCTTTGAGGGTAACACAGTCAAGTTTATTTAATGACATGAGCTTGACAACATGACTAAAAGGTAATCCCTCAGGAAAGGGAGGGTGGGTATAAAACTATTTCAAACACATTCTGTAGCCTTCACGACTGTAAACATTGTGTTTATCAACACGATGCCACCTACAAGAAAAAATATATAAAATAATGAGTGCGCCCCTTGTGGCACAAAATGAAAGGGCCCGATTGTAGGTTACACTCAAACATCTTCAAGAGAAATTACCTCTTCTTGACCAGGTTTCAAAGCAAATAATGGGATTATTTTCCCCGATATATAGAATCTCGCCTTGGGGATCTTCCAAGCTCAAATATATCAAAGTAAAGTGAAGTAAAATATATTGCCAAAGTAAAAATATCTCTTTAACATACAGCATGTAGTTTTCTTGTGTAAATACTTGTGCATCTACTTCGCAAGTTTGACAGAACATTGATGGGGACTACCACACTTTCTTACATTTCTATTTGTCTCACCAGGACCAAAGATTGATGTCTGTGGTCTCACCATTTACCTGTCCATTCTGCTTCTCACACATAAACATATATACAGCTGTTGTTATGCTATCAAGTATTAATTTAATAAAGGAAGTGATTATTTCCTACTTTGAACAATTACTTCAACAACTTTTGTCACTTATGTATACAGCTATATTAGTATCTAGGTTTTCAATGTAAAGTTTTAAATCATACTTAACACATATGCTGATAGGGTGTACAAAGTGAATTAATATTGACCCTATTTTGTATTTACTCTTGCGAATATTCATAGGGTGTCCAGTTTTACTTGTAATGAAACCAGAAGAATTTAACATTCATTATTCAGACATGTCCAGTGTATGGTGCCAGGTTAAGATAGGTAGTTACAAATGATAATCAATAATATAGTCCTGCTTCTGTGTTGAGGCTACTATTTGTAGTTTGTAGTTTTGGAAGTTAACTTTGAATGTGTGGTTGAATAAAGACATTTTTTGCCTCAACAATCTGAAACACCTGACAGGCTCATCTAAGAGGGAACAAAGTTTTGACCAAAGGAGGATCCATGTTTAGCTGAAATTGAAGGTAGTAACAAGGAGAGCAAGTTTTGATATCCTGACGAAAAATGTTAAAACACATTTTATATGTACTTGTTGATGTCTCCTTTTTAGATGTGACGTTGTTGAAAATATGAGAACAGTCTTGATTCATCAGATCCACCTTATTTATACGACAATTGGCTTCTACATGATCTTTTGCAATGGTGTTAAGAGAACACATACTCCTGGAAAATGTAATGTAATAGTAAAATGTTTATTAAAGTGTCATACGCACAACATGTACAATATACAATCGATGCACATAAGACAAAAGGTGTATGGAGTGTGTTCAGCCAGACATAGGCTTACGAGACACTATATACAATATAAACAAAATACATAATATATATAATGTGAGAGGTGGGAAATTTAGCTACGAAATCGGAAGACTCCCCGGAAACTGTAACAAACTCCTCGATTCAACAACGAAAGAAAAAGAAAGGATAGGTAGAGAGAGAGGTAATGTAATAATCATGGGGACGACTGTCGTCTCTTAATTATTTTTAAAAGCGTTGCGGCAAACAATTTTTGCAAAACGTTTAAATTTAATCGTATTAATAATTTTTTCTTCTTTGCATATCACATTAAAATTTTGGTTGTTTTCTTCAGCTGCCACAATATAAATCATGCCGTAAATCTTCATATCTTCCACCAAGTCACAACTGCAATATTTACATAACCTCTCCGATAGTGGTAGAGGAGGCTTGGAATATCTGCCTCTCTCAACAAACAAAGATAAAATTCCATATCTAAACTTAGCTAAAATACGGCGGTGGTCTCTATACAAAATATTTTTAACATAGAAATCAACAGAAGGTGTACACTAAAAGTTTCTGTAGGTACATAACTTATTTCCATTCACATTACCCGTATCATTCCAAAGCGAAGTGTGCAAATTAACTGCGTCATCTTGAAATAAAACGTTTTTAATATACCAAACATGGCGTTTAACAACCCATCTGATTTCCAGTTAGTGAGTACAATTATACTAGTTCAAAAGATTCATTATTTTACTATCCCAAGATGTGGTAAAACATCCAGACCATCGGTGAACAATATTAGGCAGGCGCTCTTGCTGCATAGATTTAAGTCTGAAAAGATATCTGAAACATTGTATTTTCTGAGTAACCAAAACAGCACCAGCCCATATCCCCTCTACTTGCAAGAACAGGAGCATATTTAGTTAAACCAAGAAACATCCTGGCAGCCTTATTTTTCATAACATCAACTTCTTTAACACTATGTAAGCCCCATATACTGGCACCACAAAACAAAACTGGTTCAACCAGCGATAAATACAACTTCGTAAAAACATCATATGACATTCCACCAACATAAATATACAGTGTACAGAGCAGATACCGCTCTACTAGCGGACTTACAAAGCTCTTTCAAGGTCTTGTGCATGTCTAAATATTCGTTTAAACACAATCCTAGATAACGGTAAGCGCTATCATAAGAAATGTGAGTATTGCCACACGAAAACCGATAACAAGATCTAACAACAGATTTCGTCCGAAAATGGACCCGCAATTTTGGCTTTGTCATCATTAATGCTAATACGCCATTTTAAGCACCAAGTACTTACAATATCTAACATATTTTGGAGATATGTTTCATTTGGAGCTTACAACACCATATCATCAGCGTATAACAAAATGGTTAAATATCGTTATCCAATGGTACACCCCATTTGAGATTCGTTATATCCGTGGCTAGATCATATATATCATATATATAAAAAATAGAGTTGGTGCCAATTTGCAACCCTGCTTAACACCCTTGGAAACAATAAAATGTATACAAATGGTCGATACAGTTTCTGTCAGAACGGAAACCATTTTGTTCCTGAGACAATATATTGTTTTTCTCAAGCCAGTTCCTGATTATTATTCAAAATGCCTGTATATATTTTACACGGTATAGACACTAAATTAATACCACTATACGACAGAGGATCAGTTGGGACACTTTTATCTTTTGGTATGGGGCTAATAAGTCCTTGGCTCCACTGTGTATAGTCAAAACAGTAACTGACTAATTTATGCAATAATGTTATGCAGTGAGAGTTCTGTAAAGCTTCAACTGGTACACCATCCAGACCGATAGCTTTGCCTTTTTTTGGTGTGTAAAACTGCTCGTTCGACTTCCTGGTATGAGATGGGCATGTTGAGCTCGAGCGTGTCCATCTGCACGTGCTCTGTACCGTTACCTACATATTCACACACTTTCTTATAGTGGTCTTCATCAAACGAGCTGCTATCACTACCGTTATAAAGCGTGTTGTACGAGTCCCTCCACTGTTCAAGCAAGGTGTCAACACCACTATCTTGTGATCCGCCACACCCTGTAAGTTCCATAGGAATAACGTTGAAGGATTTTCTGTCATTAGCTAAACCTAAACGACCAATTTTCTTCCAAAGATCTGTTCCGTTGTGATTGTTATGTAAGTTCAAAAGTTCTGATTGTTGTTCTAGCTGCAGTGAACGTTTTGCTTTTCTGAGTTGCTTATCAAAACCTTTTCTCTCAGATATATATACAGCTCTCAGAGCCTGCTTTTGCTGAGTGCTTCCTTTGAAAGCTAGTCAAGTCTTCTCCTTTAAACAAACGCTGATCCACCTTGACTGCAAGTCATCCGACCAGTTGGGTTTGGATCTATGTGAGTGGCTATTGTTACTGTTAGTATGCCTTGTATGCACTTTCTTCAGCTTGGTTTTCATCTCGTTATGAATAAGTTCTGTGTTTAGGCAGCCGTTGCGTCGTTTTCTTCATATAGTTCTTCTATCTTAACACTTTTCTCCTCCTTCTCCCCCTTAACACAACAAAATACACAACTACAACATATTGGGATACTGTACGGTGCACTGACTGACCGCAGTTTATTCTCCCCATCAGGATCATCACCAGCATCATGACCATCAATACATCGTAATTTACATGAATATAGAATCGATGCTTCATATTTCCAACGTATACATATACACAGGCATCGACGCCTTATTACGTATTCTAATGGCTCGTCAGCGCATACTCATCAGAGTATATCCCAAATCCATACACTCACAACTGGAGTGTTCGAGATTTCAACTATGGATACCGATCCATCTCACGACATATTATCATTGCTTGCCAGCACAACTTGCAAGCAGCGCATAAAATCCTGATCATCATATGGACAGCCGCAGGTACTACACACATAAATAATAAAAAATATAGATTCAACCGACGTGTACTACAATCAGCATCATAGATAACCAAACATGTTAATGTAGCCAGCCCGAATGCACCGCACCTGAGAATGAAGTTTCAACTTCCCGCCTTTACTTATATACCCATTACGAAACCAGGTTACCTCCCTTTGTTGTGCTTTCCGACGTCAGGAGAAAATAATTTCGTTCTAATTCGTCCCTCAAACGAAAGAAATTATATTTCTCCTCCTCCCCCTTAACTAACAAAATACACAACTACAACATATTGGGATACTGTACGGTGCACTGACTGAGGAAACAAAGAACGGGCAATTCAAAGCCCCAAAGAAAGAGACACTTTTAATCTATTTTCGATGCTGTCCTTAACATAGCCATCTTTGGCACTCTCGCTCCTCCAGCGACCATGTCGTTTAAACATTCTATCAGGGATGCCTCTATTGGCTGCCACTGTTGCTCCACCGGACCTCAAACTATGCAGACCGTAGCATTTTATAGCAGGTACATAAGGCTTAAAGGCTTCAATAAATAATTCCCTCAACCGAGTATAAGACATCGGTTTGTTTTCGGCTCTAAATATATAGCCATCACTGGTCTTGGACAGATTTCTGAAAAGATAAGTTTCAGAATTAGTTTCTTCCTTTAATGCAGATTTTTCCAAGAAACATTCCATACACTTCACAGGACACATCTTTGTCCCTGTTCTACCAATAATCAACCAAGCTCCATCTCTGTATACATCGGTCTTGGACCTTTCTATAAATACAGTCATATGAGAATAAAAAAACAACAAATCACCATGCTTAATATTAAGCAACTCAGCAGACAGCAACTCAGTAACCCTACAGGCATACCATTAGAAACAGCCCACTTTCTCCAAGCACGGAAACCATACTTGTACTTTCTGCACGTGGAAGTCGCTCTGGCATGGTTAAGCAGTCCCGGTATTGCTTTGGCTAATTCCGTCACACTCGGCGGTAGCTCTGCTATCTCGTCACCAAACACATGATCAAAAACACCTGTAACAGGAAATTCAAAACTGAACCTGAATCGCCATCATGTTAAAATTTAAATCATAAACACCAAACAGACCATTGCTTTGTCTGCTTGGGACATATGCATCTTTGTAAGTAGGCAGATAAACCACTTCCTTCACCTGTGAAACAAACTCTCCCCTAGGACATAACAATGGCCAAAAAGTAACTGAATACCAAACAGGAACTATCAACGTAGCCCTGCCTTGACACATTCTCAAATGCCGTAATGACCCAGATACCAAATAAACAGGTGGCACTATCCAATTGTTGCCTTCAGACCAACTCATGGTAAATGCATCCACTCCACATGATCCAGGATTCCAATATCTGGAATAAAACCTAGCAACCTTGTTGTTATAATACGAGGCAAATACATCTGTATCATATGGACCCCACATACAGAGACATACTCTGTATGTGCTGATATACAAAATCACTGATTCCCCAATCGTCCGTGTCCACAAGCTTGCTAATATAAGATAATCTGATCTCTCATTTTCTGACCGGGGTATCCACTGCATTTCCAACTGAATCTGACCTTGGAGACAAAGATTAAAAATGTCCATAGCAATGCTTTGCAGCCCAGATTTCATAGATCCTTTAGCTGCAATCGATTCAACATTTTTATTATCAGAAAACCATTTGATTCTGTGTGACTTCA